CATCTGTGTTTTTTTTTGCTGGTAATAAAAAAAGAGAAAAAATAAATTTGGTAAGATGTTTGGCTGTGAATTTAGATCTACAGTATTAGACATTGCTACTCCACCCATAGCTGATACATAAAATGGGGCAAGATGAATGTATAATGTACATAACACAAAGGGGTATATTTATACAGTACTGAATGTAACTTTCACCAAACTTTTATTAGTGGTGAGTCAACCACCGTCATGCAAACTACACACACCTGGAAGATTAACCTGCAGTGAATGTTTGGTGAATGTCATAGTCACTGCTGTATCTTTATAGCCCATATTAATTATTTCCACCCTACTGGAAAATAGCACCTTTAAAGTTCCTTTCCAACCACCATCAGGCACTACAAGCAAACATCTTCCCCTGACTTTGATAAATGTTTTACTCAAAGTATGGAAATCGAATTACTAAATTTCATATACGTTCTAACATGATAAGTAAACTCAAAAGTCATATTCGGTATTGTCAAATCTGTGGCTTTCATAAAAATAATACCTGGTGATCTTGCCATAAAGGTGCTTGTCCAGGAACTTTCTGTTATAGGGTGACATAGCTCAATACCTGTCTCCCATTTGTTTTATTGCTTTGTCATCCTGTCACATTGTTCCCCAGTAGAGATTCCAAGTAGAGTCCATGTAGACATAAAATGCACAATTATGGTCTAGTGTTGCCACTGTCACCTGTCCAGGGCTGTTTTTTATATTGATTGGACCCTGGCCAAGTATTTTCTTGCCCCCCACCTATACAATTTTCCTCTCCACCTGCTTTGAGACATAATAAATAGAAGCTAGACTCAAAATCAGTTTACTGCAGCAGATCAGGCAGAAATTGCAGTTGGTTGCTGGAGGTTACAGCATATCATTACTGCTCACTGACTGGTTGCTAGAGGTTACTGCACACATTGCGGCTCACTGATTAGTTGCTAGAGGTTACAGCACATGATTGATTGCTAGACATTACTACACATTGTTACTGCTCACTGATTGGTTGCTAGAGACTACTGCACATCATTACCACTCACCCATTGGTTGCTAGAGGTTACTGCACATCATTACCACTCACTGATTGCCTGCTAGAGGTTACTGCACATCATTCCTGCTCATTGATGCTAGAGGTTACTGTACATCATTACTGCTAACTGATTGGTTACTAGAGGTTACTGAACATCATTATTGCTCATTAATTGGTTGCTAGAGATTACAGCAGAACACTACTGTTCATTGTTACTGTAATAGAATAAATTCGGATGCCGATTTGAATTTTCCAAATTCGGTAGAATTGAGTTAAATTTGACTGAATTCAGAGAATTCTAAACAAATTAGAAAACGAATAAATTAAACGAGTTCCAAAAACAAATGAAACTATCTAAACGAATTTAACTAAACAAAATGATTTAAATAACTAACAAAACTAAACACATTTTTGTGTTCTGCGCATTTCTACTGTTTAGTGTGGATGGAAAAATCTGTTTGATTTTTTTTTTTTTGAAAGACCTGCAGAATGAACAAAAGAAATCTATGGGTGTAGGGCTAGCTTTAACTATCCCAATTTTTGGTCTGATGCACATACCTCTATAAAAGCACATTAAATATAAAAGTGTTATACTGCACCAAAACCTTTCATCTAGCCTTTAACTTATTACTGTACTTATTTCACTTTAAAATGCCAGTATAAATGAAAAGTAGTGGTGAAAAAAAATATTTATGGTTTTAGCTAATCACTTTTTGCATATTCATTCTTCATGCTCCACATATCTGCAGTATGGAGGGGGTGTAGGCAATAGTCTTCTTACTTTATGCCTGCAAAGGGTGTCCTTCAGCAGGGAGAAACTACCAGAGTTGCTGGATTGTGGTGCAGTGGTATCTCTGCAGTACAGAGCTGAAGGACAGCATAAACAGTGGGAGAAGTAAGAATGAACCAATTTTTTGCAGGGGGCACTTTGTATTGGAGTTACTTTAAGTCTGGTTGGACATGTGGTATTCTGGATGCTGTTCTGGATGCACAGTAAACCATGGGAAAAAGGCCCTACTCACTGTCCCTATATGCGGAAAAAGTCCTTTGTGTTTTGAAATTGTAGCGAAGGTGACCACAATACGTAATCCAAAGAGCCACATTGTTCTTCATATATTGCACTTATGATGAACAATTAACCTAAAAAAAGCTGCAGGCAAGTTGGATAGACCACTCTAAAGATAGACTCTGCCCATGCTGTAAAATAGAGGTTCTTGATGTACAGCTTGCTACAGTATGAAAATGACATATATCTGCATAGCTCCACCCACTATCTTAAAATGAGAAATTAGACCTTAGTTTTTTTGAAAATGTGTGGAAAGCCATTTTTGTTTTAAGGCGGGTGTCCAACCTTCTGACATTCCTGGGTCACAGGAAGAGGAACTGTTTTGGTCCGCACATAAAATACACTAACAATAAGGGTAGCTGATGAGCAGAAAAAGTTGGGCAGATCACAAGTTAACAATCACAGATATAGATAATGTATCTATCTGACTAATAAAATGTTTTTGAATTGCAGTGGCTGGGAAATTTCATGGTGTTTTTCCACCATGCAATTTCCTGTTGGTTCCCACACCTGAAAATGCACTTCATTTTTAGATGATTGGGGGTGGCATTAAGAGAGAGAGAGGAAGGGGGAGAGCAGAGAGAAAGAGACAGGGAGAGAGAGCGACAAGGAGAGAGGGGGGGGGAGAGCAGAGAGGGGGGGGGGGGGTAGAGAGAGAGAGGGGGGGAGAGAGAGGGAGGGAGAGAAGAGGGAGAGAGGGAGAGGGGGGGAGAGCAGAGAGAGAGAGAGGGAGACAGAGACAGGGAGAGCAGAGAGAGAGGGGGGAGAGCAGAGAGAGAGGGGGAGAGGGAGAAGAGAGAGGGAGAGAGAGGGAGGGGAGAGCAGAGAGAGAGAGAGAGAGAGAGAGAGAGAGAGACACGGGGGCGAGCAAAGAGAGAGAGAGAGACAGGGAGAGAGAGAGGGAGGGGGCAGAGAGAGAGAGAGACGGGGAGAGGGTGAGGGGGAGCAGAGAGGGGGGAGAGAGGGGGAGAGCAAAGAGAGAGAGGGAGAGAGAGACAGGGGGGGCAGCAGAGAGAGAGACGGGGAGAGAGAGGGAGGGGGAGCAGAGAGAGAGACAGAGAGAGAGGGAGAGAGAGAGGGAGGGGGAGGACAGGGGAGAGGGGGGGGGAGAGGGAGAGAGAGGGAGAGAGAGGGAGGGAGGGGGGCAGAGAGAGAGAGAGGGGGGAGGGGGCAGGGAACACAGGGAGGACAGGAGAGAGAGAGAGGCAGGGAGGGGGGGAGAGCAGAGAGAGAGGGAAGGAAGGGGGAGAGCCGAGAGAGGTAGGGGGAGAGAGAGAGGAGAGAGAGAGAGACAGAGGGGAAAGGGACAGAGAAAGACAGAGGGGGAGAGACAGAGAGGGGGAGAGACGGGGGGAGATAGAGAGAGGGAGGGAGGGAGGGGGGAGAGGGGGGAGGGAGAGGGGAGGGAGAGAGAGAGAGAGGGAGGGGGAGAGAGAGACAGGGGGAGAGAGAGAGAGAGGGGGGGAGCAGAGAGCGAAGGAGGGGGTAGAGACAAGGAGAGAGAGGGAAGAGAGGAGGACAGGGGAGAGAGAGAGGAGGGAGGGGGAGGACAGTGAGAGAAGGAGAGCGGAGAAAGAGAGAGAAAGGGAGGGGGAGAGCAGAGAGAGAGAGAGAGAGAGATAGATAAAGAGAGAGGGGGGAGATAGATGAGAGAGAGAGAGAGAGAGTGTGGAGGAGAGAGTGGGGGGAAGAGAAAGAGAGCGTGGGGGGGAGAGAGAGGGAGTGGGGGATATAGAGAGGGGGGGAAAGGGAGGAGAGAGTGTGGGAAAGAGAAAGAGAGAGAAGAGAGAGTGTGGGAGAGAGAGAGAGAGAGAGAGAGAGTGGAGAGAGAGAGAGAGAGTGGGGGGAGAAAGGGAGGAGAGAGTGGGGGGAGAGAAGGGGGGGGAGACACAGAGAGGGAGGGAGTGCAGGTCGGGGGGTTGGGGGGGGAGAAAGGGGGGAGAGAGACACAGAAAGGGAGGGAGTGCAGGTCGGGGTTGGGGGGAGGGAGAGGCTCTCTATGGCACTACAAATCCCAACAAAGCAGGCTCCCATTCCTCAACTCGGGACACACAGCATGAGGAGATGTTCACTACTGGGGCTACCCTGCCACACAGCAGTATGCTCCTTTCCACTCCCCCTCTAGATCAGTGTCCCGGCCCCCTCCTCCTAAGTTCCAGCTGTGTCCTCCTCCTCCTCCCAGCTGCTGCTCTGGGAGCTCCCTCCATCCACCTCTTCTGCTTGGGCCACCTCCTACCCTCCCATCCCTCCTACTGTCATCTGTCCTCCAGGCCCCAGCACCATCTGTCCTTCTCTGCCTGGCTCCCACACTCACAGCGACAGGTCCCCAATGCTTAATCTGGCTCCATCTTCTTGCTCCTCTGACTGTGGGGCAGAGCAAGCATGTGGTTGGTTGATAAGAGCACTGGGCAACCAACCACTAGAACTGTCAACAACAGCGGCGGGTGGGTGGTGGAGCTGTCTGCGGCAGGTAGCAATAATAAAAAAAAAAATTCATCCACCTCCAAGCAGCATGGACAACGGCGGTAACGGACAACAGACATTTACTGCTGGTTGAAAACACTGCCTGGGCTGCACGTTGAACTCTTCCAGGCTGCAGGTTGGACACCCCTGCTGTAGGTGATGGTGAGAGACTTTGAAGCTACAGGGGAACAAATAGTCAATGATAATAACACATTGGAGCCACAACAAAAAACTAATGCTTGAAAGATAGTAGTTGCTTTTTTAAATTAGTGTTACAAATCCACAGAGAAATAAGGAAATACTGTATAAATGAGGTACACAAGCTCCCTTACAATGCAAAGAACTTCACATGCTTGACTTGTGGGTATTAAAAGAGCAGACTCCAACAGCAATAAGCTACAGAGAGTACTCAGTGTAGACATTCGGTCACAGTGCACTTTTGATGACATCTTCCTCTAATGGGATGCTCTTGGATGTTGGTGATGTTAGGTCTTCAAATTCCCTGGAATCTGTTTTCTCTTCAAGTCCATTTCTCTTTGCCATTAGTTGACTGATTTCAAGGAAAGTTTTTCCTTTGGTTTCAGGAACAATAAAATATATAAAGATGAATGTGGCAAGGCAGATGGCAGCAAAGAGGATGAAACAGTAGGAGCCTAATCCACTCTGCAACAGAAAAAATATCACATAAAGAAAAGGGAACAATCTCCATATGATAACAGAGATTTTCCTCCAATGACAATCACAAATACCCATTTGTGTTCAGTAGTAAAAACCCTATTATTTCAGGAGATGCTTAGGTTGGCCACATGGATTTAAATATTGACCTATGCCATAAGACTCTTAAAGTGGGTCTTTAGTCAGAAAATTAGGTCCTGCTAGATCACTTCAGGCTGGTCCCTTTTGCAGGTATACAGTTTCTCCCAGAAGTGAGTACACCCCTCACATTTTTGTAAATATTTTATTGTATCTTTTCATGTGACAACACTGAAGAAATTACACTTTGCTACAATGTAAAGTAGTGAGTGTACAGCTTGTATAACAGTGTAAAATTGCTGTCCCCTCAAAATAAATCAACACACAGCCATTAATGTCTAAACCGCTGGCAACAAAAGTGAATATACCCCTAAGTGACAATGTGCAAATTGGGCCCAATTTGCCATTTTCTCTCCCCGGTGTCATGTGACTTGTTAGTGTTACAAAGTCTCAGGTGTGGATGGGGAACAGGTGTGTTAAATTTGGTGTTATCGCTCTCACTCTCTCATACTGGTCACTGGAAGTTCAACATGGCACCTCATGGCAAAGAACTCTCTGAGCATCTGAAAAAAAGAATTGTTGCTCTACATAAAGATGGCCTAGGCCAGTGGTCGGCAAGCCGCGGCTCGCGAGCCACATGCGGCTCTTTACACACTCTAATGCGGCTCTTCTGTGTGCCGGGTGCCCGCTCCCCTCCCTCCTCTCGGCGGCCGCCCCAAAAGTCAGCAATGGGCAAACTACGCCCGGCGGACCTTTTAATCCGGCCCGCGGAGCGTGGCAAACATTGGCTGTCAGGATGTAGGCGGGGCAGTGTGATGAACTCCTCTCCTCTCACAGTCCGCCCTGAAGACCGGAACAGCGCGGGAACACAGCGAGAGGAACGCGCGGAGCAAAGGTAAGTGAATTGACACAATATGGGGAATGAATTACTATAGGGGGGATGAATTACTATAGGGGGGATGAATTACTATATGGGGGATGAATTACTATGGGGGATGAATTACTATATGGGGGATGAATTACTATGGGGGGATGAATTACTATATGGGGGGATGAATTACTATATGGGGGATTAATTACTATAGGGGGGATGAATTACTATATGGGGGATGAATTACTATATGGGTTATGAATTACTATGGGGGATGAATTACTATGGGGGATGAATTACTATATGGGGGATGAATTACTATGGGGGATGAATTACTATATGGGGGATGAATTACTATGGGGGAATGAATTACTATATGGGGGATTAATTACTATGGGGGATGAATTACTATATGGGGGATGAATTACTATGGGGGATGACTTACTATATGGGGGATTAATTACTATGGGGATGAATTACTATATGGGGAATGAATTACTATGGGGGATGAATTACTATATGGGGGATGAATTACTATATGGGGGATGAATTACTATATGGGGGATGAATTACTATGGGGGATGAATTACTATATGGGGGATTAATTACTATATGGGGGATTAATTACTATGGGGGATGAATTACTATAGGGGGGGTGAATTACTATATGGGGGATGAATTACTATATGGGGGATGAATTACTATGGGGGATGAATTACTATATGGGGGATGAATTACTATGTTGGGGATGAATTACTGTGGGGGATGAATTACTATAGGGGGGATGAATTACTATATGGGGGATGAATTACTATGGGGGATGAATTACTATATGGGGGATTAATTACTATATGGGGGATGAATTACTATGGGGGATGAATTACTATATGGGGAATTAATTACTATGGGGGATGAATTACTATATGGGGGATGAATTACTATGGGGGATGAATTACTATGGGGGATGAATTACTATGGGGGATGAATTACTATATGGGGGATGTATTTTCAGTTTTAAAAATGTGGCTCTCAAAATAAATTTCAATCGTGGTTTTGGCGAGATTTGGCTCAGTTGAAAAAAAAGGTTGCCCACCACTGGCCTAGGCTATAAGAAGATTACCAAGACCTTGAAACTGAGCTGCAGCATGGTGGCCAAGACCATACAGGACAGGTTCCACTCAGAACAGGCCCCGCCATGGTCAAGCATGGTGGTGAGAGTGTCATGGTCTGGGGCTGCATGAGTGCTGCCAGCACTGGGAAGCTACAGTTCATTGAGGGAACCATAAATGCCAACATGTACTTTGACATACTGAAGCAGAGCATGATCCTCTCCCTTCGGAGACTGGGCTGCAGGGCAATATTCACAACACGATAATGACCATGCCATAAGACTTTTAAAGTGGGTCTTTAGTCAGAAAATTAGGTCCTGCTAGATCACTTCAGGCTGGTCCCTTTTGCAGGTATACAGTTTCTCCCAGAAGTGAGTACACCCCTCACATTTTTGTAAATATTTTATTGTATCTTTTCATGTGACAACACTGAAGAAATTACACTTTGCTACAATGTAAAGTAGTGAGTGTACAGCTTGTATAACAGTGTAAAATTGCTGTCCCCTCAAAATAAATCAACACACAGCCATTAATGTCTAAACCGCTGGCAACAAAAGTGAATATACCCCTAAGTGACAATGTGCAAATTGGGCCCAATTTGCCATTTTTCTCTCCCCGGTGTCATGTGACTTGTTAGTGTTACAAAGTCTCAGGTGTGGATGGGGAACAGGTGTGTTAAATTTGGTGTTATCGCTCTCACTCTCTCATACTGGTCACTGGAAGTTCAACATGGCACCTCATGGCAAAGAACTCTCTGAGCATCTGAAAAAAAGAATTGTTGCTCTACATAAAGATGGCCTAGGCCAGTGGTCGGCAAGCCGCGGCTCGCGAGCCACATGCGGCTCTTTACACACTCTAATGCGGCTCTTCTGTGTGCCGGGTGCCCGCTCCCCTCCCTCCTCTCGGGCGGCCGCCCCAAAAGTCAGCAATGGGCAAACTACGGCCCGGCGGACCTTTTAATCCGGCCCGCGGAGCGTGGCAAACATTGGCTGTCAGGATGTAGGCGGGGCAGTGTGACGAACTCCTCTCCTCTCACAGTCCGCCCTGAAGACCGGAACAGCGCGGGAACACAGCGAGAGGAAAGCGCGGAGCAAAGGTAAGTGAATTGACACAATATGGGGAATGAATTACTATAGGGGGGATGAATTACTATAGGGGGGATGAATTACTATATGGGGGATGAATTACTATGGGGGATGAATTACTATATGGGGGATGAATTACTATGGGGGGATGAATTACTATATGGGGGGATGAATTACTATATGGGGGATTAATTACTATAGGGGGGATGAATTACTATGGGGGATGAATTACTATATGGGTTATGAATTACTATGGGGGATGAATTACTATGGGGGATGAATTACTATATGGGGGATGAATTACTATGGGGGATGAATTACTATATGGGGAATGAATTACTATGGGGGATGAATTACTATATGGGGGATTAATTACTATGGGGGATGAATTACTATATGGGGGATGAATTACTATGGGGGATGACTTACTATATGGGGGATAATTACTATGGGGATGAATTACTATATGGGGAATGAATTACTATGGGGGATGAATTACTATATGGGGGATGAATTACTATATGGGGGATGAATTACTATATGGGGGATGAATTACTATGGGGGATGAATTACTATATAGGGGATTAATTACTATATGGGGATTAATTACTATGGGGGATGAATTACTATAGGGGGGGTGAATTACTATATGGGGGATGAATTACTATATGGGGGATGAATTACTATGGGGGATGAATTACTATATGGGGGATGAATTACTATGTTGGGGATGAATTACTGTGGGGGATGAATTACTATAGGGGGGATGAATTACTATATGGGGGATGAATTACTATGGGGGATGAATTACTATATGGGGGATTAATTACTATATGGGGGATGAATTACTATGGGGGATGAATTACTATATGGGGAATTAATTACTATGGGGGATGAATTACTATATGGGGGATGAATTACTATATGGGGGATGAATTACTATATGGGGGATGAATTACTATGGGGGATGAATTACTATATGGGGGATGTATTTTCAGTTTTAAAAATGTGGCTCTCAAAATAAATTTCAATCGTGGTTTTGGCGAGATTTGGCTCAGTTGAAAAAAAAGGTTGCCCACCACTGGCCTAGGCTATAAGAAGATTACCAAGACCTTGAAACTGAGCTGCAGCATGGTGGCCAAGACCATACAGGACAGGTTCCACTCAGAACAGCCCGCCATGGTCAAGCATGGTGGTGAGAGTGTCATGGTCTGGGGCTGCATGAGTGCTGCCAGCACTGGGAAGCTACAGTTCATTGAGGGAACCATAAATGCCAACATGTACTTTGACATACTGAAGCAGAGCATGATCCTCTCCCTTCGGAGACTGGGCTGCAGGGCAATATTCCAACACGATAATGACCCCAAACACACCTCCAAGATAACCACTGCCTTGCTAAAGAAGCTGAGGGTAAAGGTGATGGACTGGCCAAGCATGTCTCCAAATAAAAACCCTATTGAGCATCTGTTGGACATCCTCAAACGGAAGGTGGAGGAGCGCAAGGTCTCTAACATCCACCAACTCCGTGATGGAGTGGAAGGAGATTCCAGTGGCAACCTGTGAAGTTATGGTGAACTCCTTGCCCAAGAGGGTTAAGACAGTGCTGGAATATGATGGCCACACAAAATATTGACAGCAGTTTAGACATTAATGGCTGTGTGTTGAGTTATTTGAGGGGACAGCAAATATACACTGTTATACAAGCTGTACACTCACTACTTTACATTGTAGCAAAGTGTCATTTCTTCAGTGTTGGCACATGAAAATATATAATAAAATATTTACAAAATGTGAAGGGTGTACTCACTTCTGTGAGATACTGTAGCTATGTAAAACATTAAAAGTAAGTGCCTATACTGTTTAAAATCCAGTAATACACTGTCTCACCCTGCTTTGCACATGCTCAGTTGCTATTTAGTTTTCGGCACTGTGCCTAAAATCAAAGCCACTAGAGGCCATCTGCTGGCAGTCTAAAGATTTACTGCTGCTCAGGGGCTCTGGGCTTCAGCAAAATGGCAGCCTCCAGCAAGAAGAAACATGGACAATGCTGGAGGGAATTTACAACACACACTAATTTGGTAGCATAATTAGTAATGTGGAATGTATCTTACTTGCTAAAGAAGATTATTTTATTATCAGATCGTTAAAGGTAAAGTTCTGATTTAAGTCTCAAATAAGTGTTTGATCAATAAACAATTGTTTTCATTGAAAAAAAAAAACATTTGATCCTAATAGAAGATTCAGCAAGTTTGGCCAAATGTATCTTTATCTTTGTTGTGTCAAATATTCATTTTACAGTGAATTGCTGAATCCATAATTGTTTATTTATCATTATGTCTGTGGCCAGTTTCAGCAACCAATAAATAATGAACATGCTCTTACCATAAGGAATTCAAATATGAGCCCAACAGTGAAGTTTGATAACCAGTGAACACTTCCAGCTACCATAAAGGCAGCAGGACGGGAAGCCTGGCGAAACATTTCAGTTGTAATCACGTAAGGGATGGGACCTATTGGACAAGAGAAAAAGGTATTTTTTATATTACATATTGAGTGACCGATACACTAAATTTCAGCTCCTGGAGCATAACAATAGTAGCTTTTGATATGCATTGTGCCACACCCTTAGCTATCCTTTACAACAACCCACCCTAAAACCCTAACACTAACCAACACACCCTCAGGGCATAAAGCCTAAAGCTCTTGAAGCCCATTTTATTTTTTCACATTCTGCTTTAAAGTGGGACTTTAAATTCTTGGTTTAATTCTGCTTTAAAGTGGGACTTCACTCTCTCAATCAACACTGACTATTTTAAATCCTTACGCTACTAGCATTAGTAAATAGATATGAAAGAATATTATATTTACTTATTTTAAACTTTTTTTTTTTACATTTGCTCAGTTACTTCCTGGTTCTTATACCTAGGGAAATGATGTCATACACCCAGTGGTGTATTTAGGTTTTGTGCTCCCTAGGCAACATAAAAATCACCATCCCCTCCCCTCACGCAGAGATCTTGACACCGACCAATACCCCCCCTCCTCCACGAAGATAACCTTACATTGACCAACAACACCCTAGCCCCACCGAAGAGAGCCTTCCACTACACCTCCCACCCCATACACTGGCAACCCCCCCCTATCCCTGCGAGAGAAAAGACACTCAGTTTCACAGCTCCGGACATCCCCGGGAACAAGAGTCGGGCTCTGCATAACCCACCAAGCAGCCTGCAGCCTCTCTCAGATCCCACCTGGTCCCCATGCTGCGTGTCCCTTCTTCCATCCCTTCTTTTAGGGGGGGTGGCACTGCTTCCCTGAAAGGTTCTGCTGCCCCCCTCAAAGATGCCGCTGCCCCCCTGAAAAATGCCGCCCCAGGCAAAAGCCTTGTTCTCCTTGTGATAAATACGCCCCTGCATACACCCCAAGAGTCTTCAGGAAGGGGGAGAAGTTTTCTCAGCTACGCACACCCTCCTGACTACATGCCTGAGCTAAAGGCATATGGATTCCAGAAATGCTAGATGAATCATCTGCCCTTACTGAAGACGGCCACGGCCAAAAATGCTAGGGGGGGTTTTCAAAGTGTTTTCTCAGCAAAATAAAGGATGGGGACATGGATTGATGGATGCGTTTGGTTTGAATAATACAAATTAATGAAAATAGCCGTTTTGGTTTGTTGTGCTCAGATGCAATGTAGTTCCGCTTTAATGTTGTGTTTACCCACTTAATTAGCCAGAATTATATTCTACTTACTTGGTCCAATGGCATGGCCGATGACATAGACAATCACGCAGGCTATGCTTAGGTATGGCATCCAATGTACAGTGGTCTAAATGGAAATTAGGGTCAACAATTATATACATCCATATTTAATATATTTTATTACACAATTAGAGTGTAATCCTTACAAAATAACTTTTTGATTTTCTTATTTATTTTTTTTAAGTATTTGTTGTAGTTTTGAGCAAAGCATCTTTTCTTCTACATAATTAGCAATCTTTTAAAAAGCTTGATGAGGGCAGGGACTGCTATGAATGTAAAATATATGTATAGCGCTGTCAAAATTGCCAGTGCTATATAAATACCTGGAATGAATAATTTATTGATTTATATGTGTATTTGATCTACAGTATCTATGGATTTTAGTGTGTACATCTAGAATTTTTAGTTAGGTTTAAAATAAATACTGTATATTCTGAGTGAGGGGTTATTTCTCACTCTTCTAACTGCTGCCACTCTAAATCTGAGATTACACCCCGAGTGGCCCACACTTACTGTATATAATACTTTTTTTTATTTACAAGAGATAGGCCACAGTTTTAAGATCTGCAATTTGCCTATACTTTTCACCATCTTTATATGTTTTATTTTCACTTTAAAGCAAAACTCTCCCCCTTGGAACATACACAGATGTAACCACAGACTGTGCCCAGCCTTCGGGTCCTGGCAGAGCCCATCGGCACATCTGCACACAAGATTTTCTGTACACATGCAAAGACAGGGAAGATTTCAGACTTTGGACTACCCTAATAGCAGTCTTTTCAAGTTTTTAGGAAATCCTGCCTGTGTGCAGATGCCCAGGGAAACCAGCACATGTGAAGATATGCCACAGGACTCTCTCTAAACCCTAGCCCCATGGCACATCTATACATGTGCAGGGGTGGGGAGAAATTGTCTACTAGGGGAGAAATGCACAAATAAAATACTTTGTGAAAAAAAAATGTCATTTGTATAAGGGGAGAGGGGAGGAGGCAGGGCAACATAACATGATAGGGTGAAGGTCTGCTTTAGTTCATAAAACATAATGTTGGCGATGAATTTGTATAAGTGAGGATCCTCCCAACTGCATCTCACCTTTGGGCTTCACCATTTTGTCCCTTTTACAGAATATACAAGGTGAAGCCAGGCTGTCAACAGGGCCGGATCTATCTAATCTGGGGGTGCAGTACAAAAATAAAAGCCAGTGGACATAATGTCACCAATATGTATGAGTCATTGACAGTCTGTCACACAGTGTTATGACCTGGTAAACATTAGTATGTATTAGGCTGTCATTAGATTAGGATGATTAAAGAGAACCTGTGCCCCCTATATATTAGATGTCCCTATCACAGTGCCCCTTTACATCAGAGTCCCCATCACAGTGCCCCCTGTCAGGGATAGGCTTCTGCTATTTATGAGCAGCTCTTTTCTTTCAGTGCTCAGAAGCTGCTCAGTTGTCGGTTAATTACCAGACACTCGTCTCCACAGTGACTCACCTGCCTCACTAGTACAGCCTACAGCCAGCCCTATTCTAATTCTTGTTCCTGATTTTTGGCTCCTGACTATGCTGACTTCTGGTTTCCTGACTCTGGCTCATCTGATTACCCGCTCTGGCATCCAAATCTTGGTTTCTGTTTTGACTATGCTCCTGGACTGTGTTATTTTTGCTATCTCATTAAAGGTGTGATTTTAACTGCTCTTTCTGTCTCTGCCTGGTTTGTGGTTACTGTCACCCCCCTTATCTATGATCAGTTATCCCCATCAAAGTGTCCCCTTACATATGATCAGTTATCCCCATTAGAGTGCCCCCTTACATCAGGTGTCCACATTAGAGTGTCCCCTTACATCGTGTCCCCATCAGAGTGTCCCCTTATGACAGGTGTCTCCATCAGAGTGCCCCTTTAAATGGATTGGCCCCCATATGAATGGGTCACATGAGTCAGTGAATGCACTCTGAGAAACCTGGGGGGGGCCCAGCTAAAATCTGGGGGGGGGGGCACAGCACACCACAGCATCCCCCCTAGATCTGGCCCTGGCTGTTAATAACAGTGCTGGGGGGGGGGGCACAGCCCACCACAGCACCCCCCTAGATCTGGCCCTGGCTGTCAATAACAGTGCTGGGGGGGGGGCACAGCCCACCACAGCACCCCCCTAGATCTGGCCCTGGCTGTCAATAACAGTGCGCATATCAATTACATCTCTGCCCTTGCTGTACCTGTTATTTGTCACTGCTTCCGTAGGGCTGTAGGCATACATCATCAGCCAGGAGGATGGTTAGAGATGGAGATGTGGTTTTAGCTACTGACTATAACACAATAATTGCAAAACAAGGTGCATTTTGGGAAGGAAGCTTTTGAAACAGCTAATGAAGTAAAAATGTTCACTGATCTGAGGTCCTGTGAGTTAGGGTTAGATACACAAGCAACCATTTATAGTAATTTGAATCTTAACTGTATGATCAATTCAGTGTTCGAGACCGAATATTCAGTGTATAGTCTTTAAAAAGCCGCAATACTCCTACCTGATAAATCAGAGCAATAGTTAACACTATACATGCAATGCAACATGTCCCGAAACCTATGAGCAGTAACAGTCGTCTACCCCATGAATCCACAATGAAGACCTGCAACCACAAAGTAAAGGCATGACACATTTATATTGGCAACAGAGCATTCACAAAGAATATACAACAGCTGACGAAAATTAGAAATCATGTTACAGAAAATAATACGACTGCATTTATTTTGAAAGGCTATGCAAAATTGTATGGAAGTAGAAACGCAAACAGATTAAAGTGAAACTATGGACAAAAATTAAATTTTTGATTTTGCCCATAGTTCCACTTTTTTATTTTTTTATTATTAATAATAATAATATTATACAGGATTTATATAGCACCAACAGTTTGCGCACAGTTTACAAAATGAAGGTAGACATTACAGTTACAATACAATTTAATATAGAGGGTCCTGCTCATTGGAGCTTATAATCTAAAAGGAAGGGACAAAAGGTAATTGCTGTGGGGGATGAGCTGATGGAGGAAATAAATGGCAGTTTACAATTTAGAAGCAGGATAGGCTTCTTTAAAGAGAAAGGTTTTCAGGGATCGTCTAAAGGTGGATAGATTAGGAGATAATCAGACAGATTGGAGTAGGGAGTTCCATAGGATGGGAGAAGCTTGGGAAAAGTCCTGAAGGTGAGCAAGGGAGGACGTGACACAGGAACTAGAGAGCAGAAGGTCTTGGGAGGATCGAAGAGAGCAGTTTGGTTGATATTTTGAGACCAGGTTGGTGATATAGCTGGGGCAGCGTTGTGGATGGCTTTGTAAGTCGTTGCTATTATTTCTAATTTTATTCGTTGGGCGGAAGCCAGTAAAGGGATTGGCAGAGAGGGGTAGCAGACACTGAACGGAACGGTTGGTAAGGTGGATGAGCCTGGCAGCAGCATTCATGATGAACTGGAGGGGGCATAGCCTATGTAAAGGTAAGCCAATGAGGAGGGAGTTGCAGTAGCCGAGGCGAGAGATGACCAGGGAGTCAATTAAGAGCTTTGAGGAATCATTGGTTAAAAAGGGGTGTATTCTGGAGATGTTGCTGAGGTTGAGGCGGCATGATTTGGACAGGGACTGGATGTGAGCCTGAGAGAATAGTTCAGAATCCAGGGTTACACCTAGCACCCTGTTATGCAGGGATGGGTTGATAGTGGTGTTATTGATCCTGACCAAGAAATCAGGGGAAGAAGCACGTGGGGGAGGAAATATTATGAGCTCAGTTTTGGATAGATTGAGTTTTAGGAAGTTCTGTGACATCCAGTCTGATATGTCTGTTAGTAAATCGGTGATACGTGAGGAAAATGATGGGGTGAGCTGAGGAGTAGAGAGATAGATTTGTGTCTCAACAGCATAGAAATGGTTTTGGAAACCATGGGAAGCTAGCAGCTGACCCAAGGAAGAAGTGTAGATTGAGAATAGGAGAGGTCCAAGGACAGAACCTTGGGGGACCCCTACAGTAAGAGGAGTAGGAGAGGAGGAAGTAGAGTTGTAAGTGACACTGAAGATGTGGTGAGATAGGTAAGATTAAAACCAATGGAGAGTACAGTCACGGAGACCAAGTAAAGTTTTTTGAGGAGGAGGGGGTGGTCAACTGTGTCAAAGGCAGCGGAGAGGTCCAAGAGTAAGAGTACGGAATAGTGACCATTGGTTTTAGCGGTTAGTAAGTCGTTTCTGAGTTTTAGGAGAGCAGTTTCTGTGCAGTGTTGTGGGTGGAATCCAGACTGAAGGGGGTAAAGAAGGTGATTCTCAATAAAGTGGCAGCCCAGCTGGTTGTAGACCAGACGTTCAAGGAGTTTGGAGGCAAAAGGGAGTAAGGAGATGGGTCTTAGGTTCCTAAGATTGGTGGGGTCCAGTGAGGCCTTTTTAAGTATGGGGGTGACTACTAGCGCATATTTTAGAGAATTGGGGAAGAGGCCAGTAGAAAGGGAGAGATTGAAGATATGAGTTAAAGAATGAAGGATAGAGCCAGAGTGTGACCATAGTATTTGCGAGGGAACAGGGTCCAGGGGGCAGGTGGTTAGGTGGGCTTTAGAAAAAAGTATACCAACCTCCTCTATAGTAGCTGGGTTAAACCAGGGAAGTATAGATTGTGCAGGTGGACAAGAAGTGTAGGGTGAGGGAGATATCTGTACAGTGGAGATCTTGATAATAACTTTAGGATAATAAGACACACAGTGCTGGAACTATTTGCTCCATTGAACTCCGCAAAAAATATATTTCCTTTCCATGGTCACATCTTTTTGTAACCCCTTAAAGGACATTAAAGCTGGCCATACTCTAGCAGAATTTACCGTATTTTTCGCTCCATAAGACGCACTTTTCTTCCCCCCAGAAAATGGGGGGAAATGTCTGTGCGTCTTATGGAGCGAATATGGTGCCGAACTATCTCTCCCCCCCGGTGTCGCCGCGGCCTGGTATTCTCCCCGTCGCCGCCGCCATGTTAGAATACCGGGGCCGGCCATTCGGCTCTTCTGTGCAGCAGAACCTGCTCCTGGGTTCTACCTGCTCCTGGGTCTTACCTGTTTCTCGGCCCAGCGGTGTTCTCCATGTTTTTTCACCGTCCGTCTTCTCCCCCTGGTGCCGGCATCATCAGTGTGGGCACCCGGCTGTGACAGCTTGCGGCTTCACAGCCGGGTGCCCACTGCGCATGTCCGAGAAGTGCTGCGCTTTGTGAATGGTCCTGTAGTCTTCTGGGACCTGTCACATGTCCTAAAAGACTACAGGGGGAGAGGCTGCAGTCTCTGGTCATCTCCTGTACTAAGTCTGCAGTCTCTGGTTATCTCCTGTACTATGTCTGCAGTCTCTGGTCATCTCCTGTATTAAGTCTGCAGTCTCTGGTCATCTCCTGTGCTAAGTCTGCAGTCTCTGTTCATTTCCTGTACTATGTCTGCAGTCTCTGGTCATCTCCTGTACTAAGTCTGAAGTCTCTGGTCATTTCCTGTACTAAGTCTGCAGTCTTTGGTCATTTCCTGTACTATGTCTGCTGTCTCTGGTCATCTCCTGTACTATGTCTGCCGTCTCTGGTCAACTCCTGTACTATGTCTGCAGTCCATTGGTTCAGAATATTTTTTTTTCTTCTTGCTTTCTTCTTTGCTTTCCTCCTCTAAAACTTATGGTCAGGTGCTTCTTATGGAGCGAAAAATACAGTAATTCAAAATTTTTCATTTTATGAGTGGTCATTTGATTTGATTTGAAGAGTAAGTGGGGTCAAACTGACATTTTTTCTCAACTGCAGAAAATGTGAAGTTGCAGGCTGGAAAATTTTTCTTGAACAAACAGAATTCTAACAGTGTATGTGGTTTTCAATTGGGAAAGTTCATTCATTCAAAATCAAATGTTAAAAGCAAACGACATTTGAATGTAGTTTTGAACATTTATCAAGTCATCAAATATAACGTTAATTTTTGTAGGTATGTCCACATGAATCCTCATAAAAACATTTGTTTGAAATTCTACTAGTGTGTGGACAGCATTAGAAAGCCTCAGACATTCTAAGATGTGTGTTAATATACACAGAGGTTTTCCATCTCAGCTCATGATCCTAGAAAAAAAGAACCATATAGGAACAAAGAACCACCTAATGTATATGCCACCTACATCATCAGTCAAATATTGTAGTGAATAGGACAGGAAGATACCTCCCTGCTTGTTGTTTCCTAGCATAAATCTGATCATCTATGGGCATTGGGCAACCACAGAACTCACCGCACCCAGTGTCATTAGAACATTGACAGATCCAGTTGCTACTGTGACATACTGAACAGTGTCATCTGCCACACCAGCTGCTCTGTATATACTGTCCGCATAGTAATATACCTGAAAGGAAACAAAAGTTAGTAAACATGAAATATAATGGAGAAGTATCTGTATTAACAGATTGAAGTACAGTTTCTTTCCCAGCGCTGTACTATCCATTACTCCATACAAACTTCCAAAAATGTTAATGCTCTATTATATGGTTTTTAGGCAAATATTTTATTAGTGTCCTTTTTTTTACTTTTCTAATATTTGCGTTAATTTAAACCCATTCACACTACTTACCAGGGCTATTGCTTACATTTTATTGGTGTGCAATGTATGTACTGTATGTATCAGTGTATACAGTTGTGTTCAAAATAATAGCAGTGTGTTGAAAAAAGTGAATAAAGCTCAAAATCCTTCTAATAGCTTTTATTTCCATACACACAAATGCATTGGGAACACTACACATTCTATTCCAAATCAAAACATGAAGAAAAATATATCAAATTTGTGTTGTTCCTCTAAAAAAATTGAAGAAAAGTGAGTATTACACTGTTCAAAAAAATAGCAGTGTTTGTATTATTCTTTACAAACTCAAACATTCACTATATAAACAGAAAAATATTTGAAGATTTTGCTTTCCTTTGAATCACTTAATGAATATTTAGTTGTATAAGCACTGTTTCTGAGAACTGCTGTACATCTGTGTTGCATGGAGTCAACCAACTTCTGGCACCTGTGAGCAGGTATTCCAGCCCAGGATGATTGGACTACATTCCACAGTTCTCCTCTATTTCTTGGTTTTGCCTCAGAAACTGCATTTTTTATGTCACCCCACAAGTTTTCTATTGGATTAAGATCCAGGGATTGGGCTGGCCACTCCATAACGTCAATCTTGTTGGTCTGGAACCAAGATGTTGCACGTTTACTGGTGTGTTTGAGGTCGTTGTCTTGTTGGAACACTCATTTCAAGGGCATTTGCTCTTCAGCATAAGGCAGCATGACCTCTTCAAGTATTCTGATGTATTCAAACTGATCCATGATCTCTGGTATGCAATAAATAGGCCCAACACCGTAGTATGAGAAACGTCCCCATATCATGATGCTTGCACAACCATGCTTCACTGTCTTCACAGTGTACTGTGGCTTGAATTCAGTGTTTGGGGGTCGTCTCGTCTGCCAAACTGTCTCCGGTCATTAGACCCAAAAAGAACAATCTTACTTTCATCAGTCCACAAAATGTTGCACCATTTCTCTTTAGGCCAGTCAATGTGCTCTTTGGCAAATTGTAACCTCTTCAGCACGTCTTTTTTTTCAACAGTGGGACTTTGCGGGGGCTTCTTGCAGATAGCTTGGCTTCACATAGGCGTCTTCTAATTGTAACAGTACTCACAGGTAACTTAAGACTTTCTTTGATCTTCCTGGAGCTGATTCCTTGCCATTTTGGCTATTCTTCTATCCATTCGAATGGTGGTTTTTCACTTTCTTCCATGTCTTTCAGGGTTTGGTTGCCATTTTAAAGCATTTGTGATCATTTTAGCTGAGCAGCCTATCATTTTCTGCACTTCTTTATATGTTTTCCCCTCTCCATTCAACCTTTTAATCAAGGTACGCTGTTCTGCTGAACAATGTCTGGAACGGCCCAGTTTCCTCAGAATTTCAGAGAAATGCACTGTAACCAGCATGTACAACGTTTGCTGCCTTCCTTCCTTAAAAAAGGGCAATAATTGCCACCTGTTTTTCAAAGAATGAATGAACTCACTAATAGAACTCCACACTGCTATTATTTTGAACATGCCCCTTTTAATTAGTGATTCAATTACACAGAATCAGCAGCATGCATGTCATGACTGTTGGGTCTGTTGGATTTCTATTACTCTACTACACCTGCTAGTAAATTATTTACCATGTAGAAATATAATTTCTACCAAAAACAGTGATTGATCAGGTTAGTGATGTCTGACTGCTATTATTTTGAACACAACTGTATATACACTGCTCAAAAAATTAAAGGAACACTTTGAAAACACATCAGATCTCAATAGGGAAAAATATCATGCTGGATATCTTTACTGATATCGACTGGGTAATGTGTTAAGAAGGTAAGGATGCCCCATCATTTGTTGGAAATTAAAATTATCAACCTACAGAGGACTGAATTTGAAGGCCCCCCCCGAAAATCAAAATGAAAAACAGATACAGCAAGCAAGTCCATTTTGCTGAAATTTCATTGCAGCAACTCAAAATGGTACTCAGTTGTTTGTATGGCCCCCATGTGCTTGTTTGCATGCCTGGTAACGTTGTGGCATGCTCCTAATGAGACGTTGGATAGTGTCCTGGGGTATTTCCTCCTAGATCTGAACCAGGGCATCACTGAGCTCCTGGACAGTCTGAGGTGCAATCAGGTGGCATCGGATGGAACGAAACATGATATCCCAGAGGTGTTCTATTCAATTTAGGTCAGGCGAGCGTGGGGGGGGCATACCCCTGGTACCTTTTTCATAGGCTTTTTTGAGTTTGGGCAAGGACACAAGGACCCCATGATCCCCTATAGCCTGGGGGCCCCATGAGTTGTCAGTCCGCCCCTGCACTAGAGGATGTCAGACGCTCAGGACCCTCAGGCTGAATGGGAGCAGTGTAGGAGTGGGTTGCCGTTCATAAACGGGACCCGCTATATTAGCCTGTGCACACTCCCTGTGTGACACAGCAGAACACCGATCACTGTACGGGACCTCTGTGCGAAGTCTCGATCATGTGATCACTGATTGGCCAATCAGTGATCACATGAAAGTAGTAGTAAGCAAGATGTCACTTTTGACATCATTGCTTACTACGTGTGAAATCTGTGAATGATCACAGAGATCACATGGTACAAGGCTATTCACAACAGCCTTGTACCATGCGACAAGCTGTGACCAATCACAGCTCACACAGTATTTCTCAAAGGCTGCAAGAATGCAGCCAGAGAGAAAGATAGATGATTGCTTTTACAGCCTTTATGGGTATATAAAAGCCATCAGTGTAAAAAAAAACAAAAAAAAAATCTTCATCACCCCCCACAAGTAGTACAGTGTCACTATGGTAACAATGTACTGCTAGGGTGACAGTATGTAAAAAAACAAAAAAAAAAAAAAAAAAACATAAATAATATATAAAATAAAAATGTAAATTTTTTTTGAAAAAATTATAATTTTTGGTTATAAACTAATTTGTGTTGTTTTTCTTAACTAAAAAGATAACTGAATAAATGTTGGCCAAGATTTATGAAGAAAGATTATTTATTTTCAAAATTTTAAAAGAAAAACACTTTTTTTTTAAAACATTTTTTGGACTTTCATTTATATAGCAAAAAAAAAAAAACCCCAGTGGTGAATAAATATCACCAAAATAAAGTTTTATCTGTCTCAAAAAAATGCTAAAAAATTCATATGGGTACAATGTTGCATGACTGCGCAGTTGTCATTCGTTCAGAATTAGATGAGGATCAAGTCACATTTTATGGCAAATTACTGCACAAAACCCAGTTAATTCCAAAGGTTCACATACTTTTTCTTGCCATTGCATGTGTGGATAAACTTATTCATGTACAGTATTTATTGCTGTTGAGAGCTACCATGTAAGCTTTTGTGTACGGAATATAATGATAGTAAATAATTTAATTCAATCTAAATTGAGATGTATTGCCTTTCGAATGACATGATAATATAACTGAAAGGGTCATAAACAAAAGCTGTAAATGTGCAACTCAATTGATTTTATCTTTGAGACGTGTTCTGATTTTTATGTGCCAATTTTGCCTAGATTCTAAAGCCAGCCATTCCTTTTATTAAAATTTGGCCGGTTTAGCAGGGACCTGCCATATTTCGATCCATGCATGGGCAAGCTGGTTGTTCACAAGTTGACTTATGTACAACCAACCTTTCGGGTTTTAAACAAATGATCAGTGCTGCAGGCTATGGCCAACATTGTAGGCTCTCTGCTGTCAGAATACAGTTACATAGTTAGTCTGGCTGAAAAAAGACAAAAGTCCATCCAGTGCAACCATAAAAAAAAAGTTATAATCCTATACCCACAGTTGATCCAGAGGAAGACAAAAAAACCCAGCAAAGCATGATCCAATTTACTCCTGCAGAGAAAAAAAATTCCTTCCCGATCCCTCGAGAGGCAATCGGATATTCCCTGGATCAACACACAATAGCAGAACGGGAAGGATTCCCCCATCCACCTCAAATGTGTGGATTGGAGAATCAGATCATTTTTTGTCCTTCCACCTGTTGGCTGTGTGGTTTGCCTAAGACATAAAACAATGCTTGTACCATATGTAGCTTTAATAGTGGGAATTTGTTAAAATGATCAGATTGAAAGAAAAGTAGTATAATTTCTATCACTCACTGCATTGATTCCAGACAACTGCTGCCCCATATTCATGACAATGATAGAGATGAGCTGCCAACGCAGTGGACGAAATGAGCACAAGTTCTTGACTGATAGGCGTCCTTCTACTTTTTCTGACTGATCCTCTTGATACATTTCCTGGATTTCGCTGTCAACATCTTCCCAACCTCTCAAGCGCTTTAAGGCTTTGTGAAAAATAAAGAAGGTTCAGAACTTTAGCTTAATGAGTAAACACTCCCCTATAAATGTCAAAAGTTACAACAAATATGAACTCCTGAATCTAGTTTTGCAACTTGCGTATGTAGAACTCTACATAGCTAACAAGTGTATTCAGATTAATGATTCATTATCTCTTTATTTTGTACAAATTGGTTCTTTTTGTGTTTGTATTTGTTAATGGATAGCTCCTATTTTTTTTTTATTATTATTAAATGAAGTCTGCCCCAAAGTAGTAAAAACTAGTATTTTTAAAATTTTAACCATTACCATGATCCACTTCCAAAAAACAACCTAATAGAACTTCTCCATGGGATACGATGTACTGTATGTGAGCATTTTTTTGTTGTTTGTACCTGTATTAGGGCCCAGATGAAATAGTGCGCATTTGACTTTTTTATCCTACCTAAACACACTGACCCTAACACTAACCTAGATGAAGCCCTGATCTATCTTTATTTATTTAATTATTTTGTTTGCGGATTTTTTTTCTTCACACTTCTAGTGGGGAGAAACTTGCAATGTATTTTCTTTTTACTCACAGAGGAAAAAGATATAGGGGAATGTTCTAAAACTAGTGATCACTGGTTAGCTATAGTGGGAGCCGGTCCCAGGGTTGCCACCTCATCCCTTTAAAACCAAACACATATTATTTACACAGGTTCTGTGGCTGATTAAGGTGGTATATGAACTCACTTGATGCCTTATCTGCATTAAATTAGCCTGAGAACATGTGTAATTAATATGTGTTCAGTTTTAAAGGGATGAGGTGGCAATCCTAGCCGGTCCTCCTGTTGATCCAGGACCAGGAACTGCCTGTGACAGCTCAGTCTCCCTGCTAGGGGAGCTCAAACAAGTGCTTTCCCACCACAAAAACACTCAGATGCTGCATATATTTGGCACCATGAAAGAAAGCCCACCTCTGTGATGTTGCATATATGTGTTATGTCAGCAGAAAGGCGTTAAAGTGTGGCTAAATCAAAACATGGAAGAACAGAATAGATCTCAGAAATGGAATGGGATGCCTCGATTTAAAGGGAATATATCTTATTGATCAAAAATACCAGAACTACCCATAATAAAGCCCTCTAGGGTATAATATAATCTCTACAGCAAACTGAACAATGCTTTGCAGCAGATCTTGGAAAAAATAACTCATTTTAAAAATTTTCCCTCCCCCTCCTAACGCTTATGGCTTACTAACCTATCTAAAAAATATGCATATACTTAATTATGTTCAATCTGCTGCTCTGTGTCAGCCAGCACTAGACATGTGTGCTTCATTTGAAATTTGGACAAATTTTTCATTATTTGGAAATTCGGATGTATCCAAATTTCTGAATACACCAATAACGAATTTAAACAAATCTAAATGATTTATTAATTAACCACTTGCCCTCCAGAGGATTTACCCCCCTTCCTGAGCAGGGCATTGTTTGCAATACGGCTCTGCATTATTTGAACTGACAATTGCGCGGTCATGCAACGCTGCACCCAAATGAAACTTTACAGATCTCTGCCCCGTCAGTGTTCCTTGGTGATCGCTGAGTGCCGGTTGGGAATCTCTGATATGGATTTTGGAGGCGTGGGGTTCTGCTTAAAATCCATACCAGACCAGAAGGTTGGCACTGGTTTGTTATATTCTGCTGTGAGTGGGAATCCTGCTGACAGTAGATGAGCCATGGTTGTTAAGGACACGATGGCAGTCGGGAGGCCACCCAGCTCCTTGACAACCAGCTATTCTTCACAGTGAATTTTAATGGATTTTTTATTCCAATTTGATTTGAATACTTCGAATCCATTGTAAAAATTTTGAATTGGGTCGAAAACTAGTAAACTAGACTAAACGAATTTCGTTATGAATGCAATGAAACTAAATTAGAAACTTAACGAAACAAAATAAATGTTTTTTGTTCTGCATGTGTCTATCCAGCACTGCTGCAGTGGAGAAGAGGGAACACCAACAACAGATGGGTCATAGCAAGCCTATGGGTTACATCATCACTACCAGGCATTGCCAGCCAATGTTGAGCATTCCTACCTCTCCCCTATATCTGGCCGCTGGCTGACACAGAGGTGAATCACGTGATTGAACTGGAACAGCATGAAAATAGGTAAGTATGTGCATCGTTCTTACACAGGTTAGCAAGCAGAGGTGCTAGGAGTAGGGAGGGAGAATTTTTAAGATTAGTTAGGGTTACCTGGAACTCTACTTTAATCATGTTTGTAGAGAACTTCTTTAACATATAGACATAGAACTTGCTCCTTCTCGAAGCTAAGGGAGATATTGTTTGAGGGAGGGGGTTATTTTTTGGCAGGACAATGCTCAAGTGCATAGTTGGCTCACGCTCAATAACTAAAATGCCTCAGTTGCAGCTGTACTGTAGCTGCAAACTTAGGTTTGTTTGAGGCCTTGCAGCACCCATTATATAAAGGCTGTAATGCACCATACAGCCTCTCTTGTGCTATGAGAATGACAATCAAAGCATGAAATAGAGTTTAGAATATGCATAAACCCCTGTTAACCAATGGTCCCCACATGCTCCCTTGTGGAATAACCCTACACTCCCTCACTTACTCATGATCCTGGATTCAGTTATTTGGGTGTCAAGTGGAATAAAGGTATTGAGGGGACCTGTTTGCCAATGATAAATTTGCCTCCTTTACTGAATTCAAATATCAATATCCTCTTCCCAGCTGGTATTTGTTTTGATATCTCCAGTTGCACAATGCGTATATTTCTCGGTTTGGCTTGACAACAGTTAAGCTGACCATCACTGGACTGGAATCCCTTTTACGAGCTGGGTCTTTACCACAAGTCCACCCTAATATCTATTAGGCTTTGTAAAACCCCACAACCTCAACTATGACTAAGTGTCAGGCGCACTGACCATGGGATATTACAAGCTTGGACAATGATGATTGGGAAGATGTCTGGGAGTACCCATTCCAAGAATTACTCTCAGGCAGGGATTAGCTTGTTTAGAATTATACACAGTTCTTATCTTACATTTGCAAGATTAGGAAGGATCTCACCCAGTTCCTCCAGACCTGATGCACTGATGGACTTTATCCACATCTTCTGGACATGTGGAAGAATAAGCGACTCAAATGTTAAAGTATATCACATCCTTAAATGACACCTCAATCCCTCAGGATCCAGGTATTTGTCTTTTGAGTCTGGTGGAACCCTTGGCTATGTGGAAATTGACCAGAATACTACTTAGTCTACTGTTATTTTATGCTAGAATAGCATTTGTATTAATCTGGAAGTCCTCAACCACTCCAACCCTGGAACATTGAAAATCTTTGATTATTTCTGTTTTGCCTCTATATAAAGCAGCACACAACAGCAGAAGATGCCCCGCTAAAATGTATAGGATATGGTCCCTGTCAACCGAGTTCCTAGTTCCTATATCGAACTAAAGTTGTCTGATGCAGGGTGCCTCACTAGTTCCCTTCTTTACAGAGAATATAAAATAAGACAAATTTGATATAGGGTGCTCCTTTGAGTGCCCCAACTGGAGAGATATCCCTCAATATTAGTGCAATTCTGAGTCCAAAAATAGAAAATCTGTTGGTTAGAATCTATCTTTTTTCTGTAAATTCCAATACAAAAATCTTTATGCAAAGAATTAAAAAAAAAAGAGTGGCTAAAGTCAAAGCTTTGGTTAGATTAGAGAAACGCTCATTGAAGAGATTACTCTTTACTTCCTTTTCCAAAGACATAACAGGAAGTGGAGGAAATCCAAGAATTTGCCAGAGTGAGAAGTCCCCACTTACATACAGTAGTTGTCACTGGACTAAGAATCTTCATTGGAAGGTTTCCCTGAATTCCTGTTCTGGTGACAACTGTACATTTTTTATTTATCCATCATTTTCTGACCTGGGGACAATAACAATTGACAGTGGTTCTAATCCTTCCCTACTCCATCCATAACTAAAAAATGTTTTGGCTTTAGATGCATTTTAAAGTATAACTAAAGGCAAAATGTGTTTTTCTTTTTTTTTTAGAGTGGAGAGGGATTAGAACACATATTAGTTTTGATTTCTGTGTCTGTGCCCCTTTTAGGGAGATTAAACCCTCTCTATTTATCCTGTTTACTGTTATCATTGAAAGTGAAAGTATAAGGAAAGCCCAAATTTTGGGTTGACATCAGAACAGTAACAGAGGGGAAATCTTCCAGTGGGGACACTAGTTCTGGTGAGCCTGGTCACACACCGGGATTCCTTCCCTTTGGAGGGATATCCTCTCATTTCCTGTATTGGTTATGGGACAGGAAGTGAAGGTAAATCTCCCCGATGGGACACAGATGACCAAAAAAACTGACCTGGGTTATAACCCCCTTTAATTTAAACAAAATAAAATAAAGTTTAGTTACACTTTAAATATTTGTTTCCCCTTCTATCTCAGAAAGATGAGAGATGAGGCACTGTAAGAATAAAAAATGTGCGTCCTCTATTTTCATGCAAAGGACTGAATGTATATTTATATCATAGCTGACAGCAACCAGTAAAGTTACTTAAATTTTCTAGGACACTGATTGCTTTGGGATCTTTGTAAGACAAAATTCATACCTCTGCATTTCCATGTGTTGCAGTTTCAGTACAGTGTGTGGTTTACAGGAGTACTAGGCACTTTAAATATTTAAAATCAGGGCCGGTGCTAGACTATTTTATGTCCTAGGCAAGACCAGCTACTTGTGCCCCACCCTAAAAAAAAATAATTAAAACAAACAGTAGAACATATTAAATCAACAAAACATGAAACTGCTAAATTTCTTTTAATTTGCAAAAAAGAGTGCCATAAGATGCCGCCATCACCAATATTAAAAATCAGTATCACAAACAGACTGTAACTGTGGCTGGCAGTGGCAGGGTGACAGTTGCAGTGAGTGGAGGATGATGGATCCACACTCTGACAGGTCCCAGGCTAGAATTCCCCATGCAGTGGCGTGAGATAAAATATTGTGACAGCATGCAGCTAAACTGAGCGATCCCACACAGTGACAGATCAGACACAACACACCACCACCAACACTGACACAGATCTGCAGGACCAGCAGGCACTAAAAGAGCAGGCTGTGGGATCCTGATGATGTCATCACTCACTGACATTTTTCACCTGATGGATGGCCGGCTGGGTCACAGTCACACAGACATGAGACATCAGAGTGTGTGCTAAGCCCAGGCGCCCCTAGGTGGCAGTACACCCTAGGAGGCCACCTAGTTTGCCTAGTGGAAGCACCAACCCTGTTTAAAATTCATCCATACTAAATGTGTGTTTGCTGGAAACATTACCAAAGATGTATTAAGTTGGATTTTATCTCTATGTTTCTATAAATGTATATGTTAACACCTTTGTGACTGTTATAATATACCTTTTTAAGTCCACCTCTCACAATCTGAGATTGTTAATAAACCTTGCAAAAGAAAACCAGGTAAGTGATTATTCCTAGCCATCCCTTGTTCTCAAACCTGCTGTTATTGTTATGAAGTCAAGTTAACTGACACATTGGGGAAGGTTTATTAAAACTGGAGCATTCAGAAACTGATGTAGCTGTGCATGGTAGCCAATCAGCTTCTAATTTTAGCTTATTAAATTGAGGTTTGACAACAAAATCTGGAAACTGATCGGTTTCTGTTTCAATATTTTATTAAGAAAGTTTTGTTTTAGGAATACAACAAGCTCAAGATACACCCACGCAGGGGCAGAGCAGAACAATAACACATAATTAGATACATTCTGCTCACTTGTATTATTCAAATAGCGGAATGTCCAATGACATCAAGGAGGGATGGTAAAAAGCCAAACCAAATAATAGCAGCAGCAATCCATCATATTACTGGAAAAAGAAGAGGAAAAAAGAAGAAAGAAGAAGAGAAAAAAAAAAATCAAAAAGAAAACATGGAGGAAAGGAAAACTAGAAGAGTCACGGATCCAGGGCTAGCACAGACAGCAACTATAAGAGGCCATAACTGGTAGGAGGCAGGGATGGCAAGGAATAACATATCCAAGGTTCCCAAACCTTAAGGAATCTCGGATGAGAATCATGAAGAATGCTGGACATCTGTTCATTGATCAACATAGCATTCATCCGGGCCTTCACCCCCTGGAAGACAACTGAAGGGGTTCTCCAAGCCTGAGCTATAGCACGTTTGGCCGAAATAAATATTTAGGATGCCAATTTCTGCTGAGACCTAGACAGACCCAAAATTGGGCAGTGCAGGAGGGCCACCCTTGCATCCCTACGGACCGTAATATGAAATAGCGTTTGTAGCAAACCAAAATCCCTAGACCAGAAGCCTATCAATCGCGGGCACGACCACCAAATGTGCAATACGTCCCCAGCTGATTAGTTTCTATGCAGAGATACAACAGATTTTGCACCACGCAGTTTTAGTAAATAACCTTCATTGCAACACTGATAGACTTGGTCAATGCATCTAAGCTTTATAAAATACTCTTGTCATGCAAGGGTTAATACATACATTTTTCTACATTAGGCAACACTTACCATTTCTGGCTTTTTCCTCGTTGCCCTTGTGCAGCAGTGTGTATCTTGGACTTTCAGGAAAGAAGGGCAGTACAATAAGCTCTAGTACAGCAGGAATTCCGGTGAGAGCCAGCAGTATGGGCCAACCTGTGTGGATTGTGAGCATGAGAATCGTTAGAAGTGGCACAAAGTCTTCACTAAATGTATATATGTATATAATATACACTATATTGCCAAAAGTATTGGGATGCCTGCCATTAAACAAACATGAACTTTAATGGCATCCCAGTCTTAGTCCGTAGAGTTCAATATTGAGTTGGCCCACCCTTTACAGCTATAATAGCTTCAACTCTTCTGGGAAGGCTGTCCACAAGGTTTAGGAGTGTGTCTATGGGAATGTTTGACCATTCTTCCAGAAGCGCATTTGTGAGGTCAGGCACTGATGTTGGACAAGAGGGCCTGGCTCACAGTCTCTGCTCTAATTCATCCCAAAGTTGTTCTATCAGGTTGAGGATAGGACTCTGAGCAAGTTCCTCCACCCCAAACTCGCTCACCCATGTCTTTATGGACCTTGCTTTTTGTGCACTGGTGTGCAATCATGTTGGAACAGGAAAGGGCCATCCCCAAACTGTTCCCACAAAGTTGGGAGCATGAAATTCGCCAAAATGTCTTGGTATTCTGATGCCTTAAGAGTTCCCTTCACTGGAACTAAGGGGCCAAGCCCAACCCCTGAAAAACAACCCCACACCATAATCCCCCTCCACCAAACTTTACACTTGGCACAATGCAGTCAGGCAAGTACTGTTCTCTTGGCAACTGCCAAACCCAGTCACATCATCAGATTGCCAGACAGAGAAGAATGTTTTGTCACTCCTAAGAACATGTCTCCACAGATCTAGAGTCCAGTGGCAGCATGCTTTACACCAGTACATTCAACGCTTTGCATTGCACTTGGTGATGTAAGGCTTGGATGTACCTGCTCGGTCATGAAAACCCAATTCATGAAGCTCTCTACACACTACTGTTGTGCTAATTTGAAGACCACATGCAGTTTGGAAGTCTTTAGCTATTGACTTAGACAGTTGGTGACTTCTGCGCACTGAGCGCTTCAGCATGTGCTGACCCTGCTCTGTCATTTTATGTGGCCTACCACTTGGTGGCGAGTTGCTGTTCCCAGTTGCTTCCATTTTGTTATAATACTATTAACAGTTGACTGTAGAATATTTAGTAGCAAGGAAATGTCATAGATGGACTTATTGCACAAATGGCAACCCATCACAGTACCACACTTGAATTCACTGAGCTCCTGAGAGTGACCCATTCTTTCACAAATGTTTGTAGAAGCAGTCTGCATGCCTAGGTGGTTGATTTTACACACCTCTGGCCATGGCTGTGATTGGAACACCTGAATCCAATGATTTGGAGGGGTGTCCCAATACTTTTGGCAATAAAGTGTGTATATATATATATATATATATATATTATATACAGTTTATACACAAATATATTTATGTATACACATAGCAGTATTTCCTTTGGCAATATAGAAAATATTTTTGAGAGCTAACAGCTACAGTGCCTTTAAAAAGTATTCATACCCCTTGACATTTTCCACATTTTGTCATGTTACAACTAAAAACGTAAATGTATTTTATTGGGTTTTTTTTGTGATAGACCAACATGAAGTGGCACATAATTGTGAAGTGCAAGGAAAATGATAAATGGTTTTCTAAACTTCTTTAAAAAAAAAAATGTAGCAAACTGAAAATGTCTAAATTAAACCACTGCGCAAAATCCCAACCCCTGAATCTAAATTGTTTCTGTAAGAGCTATTTTACACTGCTGCACTGTGGTGTGGCCGCAGCTTTTGTTCAGCGCAATGTATCTGTGGTGTTTGTGCGGGTTACCCACTGTTTCCCAGAGATTTCTATTACATCCTGTGTTTTAGCTGTGTTTTCTGAAAGTGGGAAACCATGGGTAACCCGCACAAAAACAGTGGGTACACTGTGCTGCACCCATGCTGCAGCCAAATTACAGCTCAGCAGTGTGAAACCACTCTAAGGGAGCAGATTCCCAGGACAGGTCTGGTTGGCACTACATGTTTTTGGTGCAAGACTGCTTGCTATCAGTGCAGAAGGCCCAGAGGATAGTATTAGGACTTAGTTTAGTATTAGGACTTAGTTCACATTAGGGGTTAAATTCAGTGTTAGGGATATTTAGTGTTAAGGGTTCACTTTAGAGGATAGTTAAGTGTCAACGTTCAGGATGGGGTAGGTTAAATATTGAGGAACACTCTAAGGCTGCCTTTTTTTAATTTGTTTTCTTCAGAGCAGGGGTGGGCTGACCATTAGGAAACTCGGGCACTGCCCGAGGGCCTGGGGTCAGTAGGAGGCCCCATGAGATGCCACTGGTACCTTTTTCATAGGCTTTTTTTGAGTTTGGGCAAAGACACAGGGGCCCCATGATCCCCTATTGCCCGGGGGCCCCATGAGTTGTCAGTCCGCCCCTGCTTCAGAGAGAATCTTGAAGTCGTTTTCAGATCTTAGAGAACTCCTGCTAAAACCAATTCACTGGGGTCAGTGGAAATAGATCATTGAGATCATGCAGCTGGCTGTCAAGCGGCACTAGTCCTGGAACTATGCACACATCACTAAATGGGTGGTCAATCAGCAACAGCTCGAGGAACCCCTAGTGAGCCCTGGGGGACCCCTAGGAGAGAATAGCTACTCTAGGGCCTAACATGCTGACTTTCTATACTATTCACAATTGTACCCAATTCTGGAGCCTTACAATAAAATCTATAAGCAGCAAACTTCCAGAGCTACTATCAAATGTTTAGGCAGATTCTGAAGTTGGTGATTTTACCATTACAACTATTAGGTTCCTTCTAATTACATAGTTACAAAAAGTTAGAAAAGCATGATGCTCTTCAAGTCCAATGTCTTACAATTGAAATTCTGGTCTATAGCAAGGCAAAGCAAAATGTTAGCCACACCAGAACAAAAACAATCCTTGCGGACCACCCAAAGGTAGTATTACCAATTCTCTGGGTCATAATTCCATTCTATTAATCGTTAGTAAGTACAAATTTACATATTACTATTTGCAAGATCATCACCCAGTCTTTTTTTTTCAAATTCAACAATTACCTTTGTCAACACTACCTCATTCAGGGCTCAGCCGCTCTTACTGTAAATAACCCCTTTCTTAACTTATTGTAAAATCCTACTCCATAGGCAACTAACTGTATATCGCCTTGTCCTTTGTACTATCCTTGGGATGAACATACCTAATTCTTAGTACACTGTAAAATTCTTAGCATATTGTAAAAATATCCATTTCTTTTATTAGTTTAGTTGCCTGCCCAATAAAACTCTTTGTTGGCTAGGAGGGCTGACCGCTGAGAAAGTGGATTCTCTACTGTATGTAGTATTATAAATATCACAAACCCTTACCTTGCATATTTCCAAGGATGAATCGGATCCCGAAAATCTGTGCCATAAGAATACCAATGGTGATCAACAGCTGAGGCATCACCCCAATACCTCCTCTAAGATTTTTAGGGGACATTTCTCCAAGGTACATGGGGACCACATTGGAACATAAACCTGGGCAAAAATCAATACACATCAATTATGTTATAGTAATAATGTAAAGTAAATATGTGTATGCAAATATAATTCACCTGTAGCAGCACCTGACTGCCAATGTTTAGTGCAACATAGTACACTGCATGTTTAGTTTGGTATCACCACTAATCCTCTAGATCACATGTGTCAAACACAAGGCCCGGGGGCCGTATCCGGCCCGCCAAGTCATTTCACGTGGCCCTCACACCCAGGGCTTTTGTAGCCGGAAAGTGGCAGAGTGTTGTAGAGGTAAAAGCTGAGAAGGAGAGGTGGAAAAGAGATGTGGAAAGCCCTTGAAAGAGGGCTGAACCCTGCACACTGTACACAGCACACTTCTGCACTCTGCATGTAGCGCACCCCTAAAGCCCTGCACTCTGTATATAGTGGTACTCCTGAACTCTGCATACATAGTCTTACGGATAAAACCAGTCTTTTGAAGGCAACCTAATGCTGATGTGGCCCATGATGAAATTGAGTTTGACACCCCTGCTCTAGATGTACAGTATTTAAAGCGGAAGTCACCAATTCAAAGAAAACTCACTTATCTATCTATGTCTCAATGCTTTACTTTGTTAACAAATCACTTTGACCCCCCCAGCATTTCTAGCCACAGCCATCTTTAGTAATGCCAGATGATTCATATATCATTTACTTCCTGGAATGCATCTGACCTTAGCTCAGGCATGGAAACAGGAGGGTGTGCTTAGCTAGGAAAGCCCTCCTCCAGGTGAAAGAAAAAAAAATGCCCACGAAGACTTCTCGGATGTATGGCATCATTTTGATCTAGGCCAAAAACCAGGAAGCAACTGAAGAAGCAAAAAGTTTAAAACAAGCAAACATAACATCTTCCTATTTATTTACAAAGGCTAGCAGCATAAGGAATAAAAATAGTTATTTTTAATTGAAAGAGTTTAGTTCCTCTTTAATAGGTTTAGTTATGATATAGCTAGTCAGTTGTCATTGCAGTAGATATACAGTAAATGTGAAGCAAAGGATCTCAGAAAAATTTGCAGCTCCTGCAGTATATTCAAAGTAATGGTGAATGATCTGCGACAAAGGATGTTAGAGGATAGGTCAGGAATTAGCATCTTATTTTGATCTTGATATATATATATATATATATATATATATACACTGCTCAAAAAAACACTTTGAAAACATATCATATCTCAATGGGGAAAAATATATCATGCTGGATATCTATACTGATATGGGCTGGGTAATATGTTAGGAACATAAGGATGCCCCATCATTTGATGGAAGTGAAAATTATCAACCTACAGAGGACTGAATTCAAAGACACCCCAAAAATCAAAGTAAAAAAATGATGCAGCAGCTTAGTCCATTTTGCTGAAATTTCATTGCAGCAACTCAAAATGGTACTCCATAGTTTGTATGGCCCCCACGTGCTTGTATGCATGGCTGACAACATCGGGGTATACTCCTAATGAGATGACAGATGGTATCCTGGGGTATTTCCTCCCAGATCTGGACCAGGGCATCACTGAGCTCCTGGGCAGTCTGAGATGCAACCTGACGGTGTCGGGTGGACCAAAACATGATATCCCAGAGGTGTTCTATTGGATTTAGGTCAGGTGAGTGTGGGGGCCATTCAATGGTATCAATTCCTTCATCCTCCAGGAACTGCCTGCATACTCTTGCCACATGAGGTCGGGTATTGCTTTGCACCAGGAAGAACACAGGACCCCTGCACCAGCGTAGGATTTGACAATGGGTCCAAGGATTTCACTCCAATACCTAATGGCAGTCTGGGTGCCACTGTCTAGCCTGTTGAGGTCTGTGCATCCCTACATGGATAAGCCTCCAGGAACTGCCTGCATACTCTTACCACAATAGGCTGGGCATTGGCGTGCACCAGGAGTAGGGTCTGACAATAGGACCAAGGATTTCATTCAGATACCTAAGGGCAGTCAGGGTGCCATTGTCTAGCTTGTAGAGGTCTGTCGTGCCTCCATGGATATGCCTCCCCAGGCCATCACTGACCCACCACCAAAAAAGTCATGCTGAATGATGTTACAGGCAGCATAACGTTCTCTGCGCCTTCTTCAAACCCTTTCGCGTCTGTCACATGTGCTCAGGGTGAACCTGCTCTCATCTGTGAAAAGCACAGGGTGCCAGTGGCGGACCTGCCAATTCTGGTGTTCAAATGCCAATCAAGCTCTATGGTGCCAGGCAGTGAGCACCGGCCCACTAACATCAGGCCCTCAGGCCACCCTCATGAAGTCTATTTCTGAATGTTTGGTCAGAGACATTCACACCAGTGGCCTGCTGGAGGTCATTTTGTAGGGCTCTGGCAGTGCTCATCCTTTTCCTTCTTTCATTGCTTTTGGCTATTTTAGGGTCTGCTGGCTACAAGCTCGTTACTTCCCCCTGCATTCCAGTAAATTCTGGAATATAGTGAGTTGGGAAAGGTGGACCCTGAGCTGAATATTCATGCAGCCTCAGCCAATCCCTGGTCCAGAGGGTGACCAGCAGGGGGCTGAGGTGTGCTAAAATCATCTTGGGTCTTTTGCCTTGGTGGAGGGAGACCCAGCCTGGAGGGCCTGTATGCCCTCCTACGCCATTTAGTTGAGGACTATAGGAGGTTCATTATGTTCCCAGCTCAGAAAGACTTCTGAAGCCGAGATAACAGTCTGGAGAAGAGTCTGCTGAGGATCTGGCCTGGAGGCTCACCGTACAGGGTCTGCCTGATACTGGAGGGAGGCATCCATGTATACAGGGACACAGTGAGTACAGACCTCAGAGAGAGATCCTGGAGAATCTTTTGCTGCATGACCTCCTTTTGTGAGAAACTGTTCCAGATTTGCTGGCTCAGGGCTGTTTCCAGTGTGGGATCACCCTGAAGCTGTACGTCCATATCCCTTTGTGCTAGAGGCCTCTGAAGAGGTTAATTCCTGTTAAAGAGTGTCCTCAGTTAAAGTTGCACTTGTTCTGGAGTACCCATAGGCTCACTTTATTCCCCATTCAATTTCTTCAAACAGTAAATCCAAAAGAAGAAACTTCTGCTTGGTTTTTGTGTGGTGAGACTGAAACTGCTGTGTGCCTGGTTACTGTGCACCCTTTAGGGAATAGAACCTGAGACAAACAGCAAGACTGGCTTGGGGTCTATGCTACATATACAGTGCTGTGGAAAAGTATTTGCCCCCTTCCTGACTTTTTTTTTTGCATATTTGCCACACTTAAATGATTCAGATCATCAAACAAATTTTATTGCTACACAAAGATAACCCGAGTAAATCCAAAATGCAGTTTTTATTAAATTACCATTTATTAAGGAAAAAAAGGTGTCCAAACCTGCCTGGCCCTATGTGAAAAAGTAATTGCACCCCTCCTCCTTGCTAAATCAGGAAAGAACTGCGATGAACCACTTTTTTTGGAAAGCTGAGTTAAATTTCACTTGCCACACCCAGGCCTGATTACTGCCAGACCTGTTGAGTCAAGAAATCACTTTAATACAAGCTGTCTGACAAAGTGAAGCATGCTAAAAGATCTAAAAAAGCAACACATCATGTCACGATCTAAAGAAATTCAAGAACAGATGAGAAAGAAAGTAATTGACATGTATCACTCTGGAAAGGGTCACAAAGCCTAAGGCTTTGGGACTCCAGGAAACCACGGTGAGAGCCATTACCCATACCCACATATATACAGTATCTCACAGAAGTGAGTACACCCCTCACATTTTTGTAAAAATGTTATTATATCTTTTCATGTGACATTGAAGAAATGACATGTTGCTACAATGTAAAGTAGTGAGTGTACAGCTTGTATAACAGTGTACATTTGCAGTCCCCTCAAAATAACTCAACACACAGCCATTAATGTCTAAACCTCTGGCAACAAAAGTGAGTACACCCCTAAGTGAAAATGTCCAAATGGGCCCAGTGTCAATATTTTGTGTGACCACCATTATTTTCCAGCACTGCCTTAACCCTCTTGGGCATGGAGTTCACCAGAGCTTCACAGGTTGCCACTGGAGTCCTCTTCTACTCCTCCATGACGGCATCATAGAGCTGGTGGATGTTAGAGACTTTGCACTCCTCCACCTTCCATTTGAGGATGCCCCACAGATGCTCAATAGGGTTTAGGTCTGGAGACATACTTGGCCAGTCCATCACCTTTACGCTCAGTGACTTTAGCAAGGCAGTGGTCGTCTTGGAGGTGTGTTTGGAGTCGTTATCATGTTGTAATACTACCCTGCGGCACAGTCTCCGAAGGGAGGGGATCATGCTCTGCTTCAGTATGTCACAGTACATGTTGGCATTCATGGTTCCCTCAATGAACTGTAGCTCCCCAGTGTCGGCAGCACTCATGCAGCCCCAGACCATGATGCTCCCACCACCATGCTTGACTGTAGGCAACACACTTGTCTTTGTACTCCTCACCTAGTTGCCGCCAGACACGCTTGACACCATCTGAACCAAATCAGTTTATCTTGGTCTCATCAGACCACAGGACATGATTCCAGTAATCCATGTCCTTAGTCTGCTTGTCTTCAGCAAACTGTTGTGGCTTTCTTGTGCACCATCTTTAGAAGAGGCTTCCTTATGGGACAACAGCCATGCAGACCAATTTGATGCAGTATGGGGCGTATGGTCTGAGCACAGACAGGCTGACCCCCCCACCCCTTCAACCTCTGAAGCAATGCTGGCAGCACTCATATGTCTATTTCCAAAAGACAACCTCTGGATATGACGCTGAGCACATGCACTCAACTTCTGTGGTCGACCATGGTGAGGCCTGTTCTGAGTGGAACCTGTCTTGTTAAACTGCTGTATGGTCTTGGCCACCGTGTTGCAGCTCAGTTTCAGGGTCTTGGCAATCTTCTTATAGCCTAGGCCATCTTTATGTAGAGCAACAATTCTTTTTTTCAGATCCTCAGGGAGTTCTTTGCCATGAGGTGCCATGTTGAACTTCCAGTGACTAGTATGAGAGAGTGAGAATGACAACACCAAATTTGACACACCTGCTCCCCATTAAGACCTTCTAACACTAACGAGTCACATGACACCAGGGAGGGAAAATGGCTAATTGGGCCCAATGTGGACATTTTCACTTAGGGGTGTGCTCACTTTTGTTGCCAGCAGTTTAGACATTAATGGCTGTGTGTTGAGTTATTTTGAGAGGACAGCAAATTTACACTACTTTACATTGTAGTGTTATTTCTTCAGTGTTGTCACACGAAAAGATAGAATAAAATATTTACAAAAATGTGAGGGGTGCACTCACTTCTAGGAGATACTGTATATATATGTATATATATATGTATATTATATATATATATATATATATATATATATATATATGTGTGTACACACACACATAAAACACATCACAACACAGCACTGTATATAGCCCTGGGAAAGTATGGTAGGAATATTTTCTGTATAGTTCCCCTGAAGGTTCACAGACTTTTTTCAGCAGTGCTGCAGGATTCTTATTCTCTCAAAATAAAATGTTCATAAAGATGTCAAACAAGTTCCCAAAGCCTCAATATTATTTTGTTCATTTCAAAATGGAAACCGGACAGAATCTTTTTTTTACATTACAGATGGTGATAAAAATTACTTTTATAAAATGTATCAGATACAAACACCAATACTATAGGAACATTTTCTCACCAATTAAAAAACGTCAACACTGTCCTAAAATATAACATAGGCTAGCCTTTTCCCTTATAGCTACTCTATAAATATCACTATAATTTAATCACATAACAAGTCAAACCATCTAGGAGTACATTTCCTCATTTGGATATTTGAAAAGAATCATATAAAAATAGAATTCCATTAAATACCATTACCACCTGGATTATTGGTGTTTGCATTTTAATACGTTTGATAAAAGTAACTGTATAGGGAAATAACCTGTGGTCCTTGGCTACCACCTATTTCTCTGTACAATTCATGGACTATTACATCCCATACAATAACAAGCCTATGATTTAACCATGATTTTATACTTTTTGTCTATTCCGTGTTGGTTTCCTACCTGCACAGATTCCTATTATCAGTCGGCAAGCAATGATGACCTCAAAAGACTTGGCCAGGACGCTGGTGCCCATTAAAATAGCAGGGACAATGGAAAATATGTTGTTGAGCAGCAAGGTTCCCTTCCTAAGATAACCAGAGACAATGTTCAGAAAGACTTTTAACTCCCATGGTTTATTAAAATGTATTGCATTCTATAGACTTCCTAATTTCTTATATACCATGAATATGTTATTTTCAATGAAAGAAACACTAATTTTATCCTGACAGTTTTATAGTGTTTTTCATTGACTTTGCACCATGTACTATGTTCAGATCCCTTCAATTCTTATGACTGGCTTTAATTTCATAGTTAAAGCGAACACCACTGCATCTGAGCACTACAAACCAAAAACACTGTTAAATTCGTTTTTAATATTCAAAGAAAACTCGGCCATCCATCCATGACTCCATGCATTATTTTGCTGAGAAATCACACTGAAAAACATCCCCTTGCATTTCTGGCAGTGGCTATATTGAGTAAGGGGAGATGATTCATGTATCATTTACTTCCTGGAATCCATCTGCCCTTATCTCAGGCATGCAAGCAAAAGAGTGTCCTTAACTAAAAAAAACCCTCCTCCCCTCCTGAAGGCTCCTGCGAGGTGTTACATCATTTGCCTAGACATGGAAACCAGGAAGTAACTGAAGAAATGTAAAAAAAAAAAAGTTTAAAACAAGTAAATATTATATACTTTCCTATCCATTTATCAATGCTAGAAGCATAAGAATTAATAAAAAATCAGTGATGGCTGAGAGGGTGAAGGGGGGTAAAAAAACTCACACAGTTCCGCTATTCTTTTTATTTTTTATATTTTCCCCTTAGTCTGTAGAGACCTCTCTTACTTTGGCCTACAGCACATATTCCATTCATATTCTCTGCTGAAACCTGAAATCTCACAGAAGACCAATGTTCTTCCAAATTACATTTGCGTTCTTGCACTGTCTTTTAAATAAGCCCTCGTATATTGAGAAAAATATAAATAAATAGGTCCTCCTGTACGGGGCCCAAGCTAGCAGGGTGGGTGAATCAGATGTGGGCAGGGAGGGTGATTGACACAGCGGGGGGCAATTACTGGAACCGATCCCCTGCATGGCTCTCTTTGCAGCAACTGAAAGCTAGCTTCTTCTGCTCTCCCTCCCGCTGGCAGCTGCTGCAGAGAGAGCCCTACAGGGGATCAGTTCCAGTAATTGCCCCCTGCCACACCCATCACCCTCCCTTTGCACCATATATTTCCCCCTGTGTGCCCCCACCACCACAGTTCTACCAGCTTCCCTCCTCTCCTTTCCACCACCATCTGCGAGCACACAATAGGATCTTTGAGGATGGAGAGTGGGGAAAGGTCCTGGTAAATATGTTACATTTACCATCCCCTTTGTTTCCTGAATGAACACAATGAGTGATTGGCGCTAAGCACTCACTGTGTTCATTCATAACTGACACATAGTAAAATGTGTTTTTTTTTTTTTTAAGGGGGAGGTACCTGTCAGGTTGGCTGTATAGTTTCTATCATCAGCCTTGGGGAAACCTATTACAATTCGTGTTGGAACTATGATCTGAACCCACGTAAGTGAGCCTGCCAGGAAGCTGTCAACCTGTACAGGCCAATCATCTGCAGCTGGGACATTCCCGCATGTACTGTATATGTGTAGCTGTGGGCTGGGGAATGCCCCAGCTTCAGATGTTTGGCCCACAAAGAGGACAGCTTCCTGGGGGGCTCACAAATCTAGGGCCTCATCCTAGTCCGAACATGCCCAAGCTCAACACTGCTATGATAGAACAATATTTAGGCAATGGTTCTGTTTCTCTCTAGATATCCTTAGAACATGATTCTACACTTACCTCCCAATTGTGTTAACTAGAGGCCCCACCATTAAAGAGCCAAAGAATCCACCGAGTGGGTATAAGGACACGGTGAGAGACCACAACACATTCTGTAAACTTGTAGTATAGGTAGAGCCATAGCGACTCGTGTAGGTTTCATTGTAAAATGTCTTCATGAACTACAGGGAAAGAATTCATATTATTTATAGGCATGATAACAGCCAAATATATGTAAACACATGAAAGATAAATTACTTTGAAGGTGTTAAAATAAATCATAAGTCCGAAGACTGTTTTAATTAAAATTGGCCACTAGGTGATGGTATTGTCCTGCAAAATCTTAAGAGTGTCTCCAGCATTAGAAATGTAGACATTTTCATGTGTATTCAGTTTTCTCTGACGGGATGCCTCCAACGAACCAGTTGTTTTTTCATGATGGTTTGTTTTTGATTTTGTTCATTTCCCCCATTTATATATACATCTAGACAGGGAGGAATAAAAGGTAATAGGAAAAAAGTTATGTATTATCAAGATAGCCTTGGACCCATGTGTTCCCTGCTATGATTGGTCACTACTTCAGTTATACTGTATGTTACAGAATCTGCGTATCCACATTGTTCTATCTATGTACAATTCTGCTGGTGCAGTAATATTATTGAAGATTCTGTAAACTCTGTTCCATTTTTGTTCATTGACAATAAAAGTTGTTTGGATTAAAAAAAAAAAAAAAGAAATGTAGACATTTTCATAGAAAAGGCTCTGCAGCAGTTGGACTCAACTCCAGTATTTAAGAAATATCACCAGTACAAACTTTTAATTTCTCTTCTCAGACTCTTAGATGAGTAAAAGAAGGCTTGCTTACACTATGCCCTTTCCTGCACTTTTATGAGCTTGGCTGGCAGTTTGGACCCTGACAAGTGCCCTTGAATTAGCATATCTAAAACAAATGTACAGAGCCTAATAGCTCAATTCACACATTGTGGCTGAGCTGCAGGATGTTGTACTGAAGCAATCCAAAGCATGTGGCACCATGGCTGCAAGGATCACAAGATCTGACCAGAGCGGATTTAAAAGAGGTCTTTTTTATACAGGGTATGCAGGATAGACAGGAGGAGGAGGGAAGGAACATTTGTAAGAATAGTTAAAAGAGAAGTAGGGCAGCACTGTGGCTAAAAGATTAGCACTTCCGCCTGGCAGTACTAGCGTCCTTGGTTCAAATACCAACCATGGCACCACCTGCCTGGAGTTTGCATGTTCTCCCTGTGCCTGTGTGGGTTTCCTCTGGGTACTCCGGTTTCCTCTCAAACTCCAAAGACATGCTGGGAGGTTAATTGGATCCTGTCTAAATTGGCCCTAGTATGTGTATGTATGAATGTGAGTTAGGCACCTTAGATTGCACACCCCTTGAGGGTTAGGGACTGATGTGAATGTACTATATATATGCAAAGCGCTGTGTAAATTGACAGTGCTATATAAGTACCTGAAATAAAAATAAGTAGGGCTTATTTTCCCCTATTTATACTTACCTAGGTGGATGCAGCATCAGTCCAATGCTGCATCTATCTCCTGCCAACCCTAAGGGTGAGAACTTAGCGATCACATGGCCGCTGATCACCGAGTTCTCACAGCTGCTCTTAGCAGAGAGCGGTGACTGTCAGTCACGCTCTCTGCCAGGGGTGTATTTACCACAAGGCAAACAAGGCATTTGCCTAGGGTGGAATTTTTCAGGGGGGGCAGCACCACTCCCTGGATGAAGGGACAGAAGAAGAGACTCAAGCAACATGGGGACCAGGTGGAATCCGAGAGAGGCTGCGGGCTGCTTGACGGTGTATGCAGAGCCTGACTCTCCCCAGGAGATGTCTGGAGCTGTGAAGGTGAGTGGGGGTGGCCAGTGTATGGAAGGTGGTGGGAGTGGAAGGCTTTCTTGGATGGGGGGGTGGTGGTGTGTTGGTTTGTTTTTAGGCTCTCTCTGCAGGGGACAGCGATTTTTGTGTTGCCTAGGGCAGCACAAAACCTAAATACATTATTGCACTCTGCTCAGCCTCCCCAGCTATCACTGGGCTGTGGAGGGGAGACATCGGCCAGCTCAGGCTCTCAGGGCTTCTCTGAGAGGCTGAGCCAGGTGCCAGTCAAGACTCTGGGGTGGATCCCGACTTTGGGGATCTTTCCTCAGCCTGGACCAGCTGAGTGACGTCAGCCGTCAGCGGACTTCAGTCCACTGTCAGCTAAAAGGTCACAGGACTGCACTCCTGTGATCCACAGGAATAGTACAGCTAAAAAAGCTTTGGCTGCACTTCTCCTTCAATGTTAGGCTTTACTATTAGTTTAAGTCGAACCATCTTTATGACAGCCAGATAATTTGAATTTTCAAAGGTAAGGGTTAACAATAGCAGCGTGCAAATTTCTTTTACACCAGGTTTCCATAAAGCAACAATTCCAAACAAATTAAAACCTAGCTATTGTTTTATAAAGATGAGTTGATGGAAGGAAGACTGCACAAAGACAATCATATACAGTAACTGTCGTTGCTAACTTTCATCTGAAATCGCTACTTGTCGTACTGTATTGAATACGTTCTTCACTGTTTTTGAAACACTCATCCAGAATAAATGTGCAATAAGTGAAACCAGATCTGTTCAGCATATTTTTTCTACTTTTAGTAAATTAGAATGTATTGCAGCCGTTGGATCAACATGACAGCCAAGCAACTAAAATTTTGAGGAGATGCCAGGAATAACACCCTACATATTTTTCGCAGTTTTTTTTTAATGTCTTTATTTTATTTATTGTAACTGGACAGCAGCTAATGTACACCATGTTTAGTCACATATCTAAGCCCCCTCCATTACATTCTCCTAAATGATATTACACATCATGCAAGAGTAGAACTGGAAATTATTCCATTGCATTGGACTAGCTAAGTTTTTTCTCCTGTAAATCTACTCCACTGTGTAGGAGAAGGAACAGAAGTGTTTGTGTATAATAACAAAAATGTATACATAAAACATGATGAAAGCTGAACTAAACCCATCAATTTAAAGTGTTTACTAAACCCACAACAGTAAAATCAGTCTGTATATGCAGTAAAGCATGCTTGTTATACTCACTGTGGAACCTAAGGGGTTAATCCTCCGCATTGTGTAAAAAGGATGTTTGATAGTGTCTTCTCTGATCCTCCCCTTCTTCTACTGTCCCCAATCCATCTCCTGATAGTTGAGCCTTGGGGCAAACTGCACATGCTTCATTTGGTGTGTATTCCTAGATAGTTTTTTTTTTTTCCTTGCATTCGATCAGCACAGGGCCAACCAGCACTGTCCAGACGGAGGGTGAGGGGTCCTGTAGCCTCACAGGACAATCAGGAGAAAATTAAAACTCCTCCTACAAGCTTTAACCAGTGCTCTGCTGTACACTGATAGAAGTCACAAGACTGTTATATACTACTGATAAGAAAAGGTATTTAGCAGTTTATATTTACTAAAACAATTGCATTTCCACATTCTGTGTACTGTGGGAGACCAGATATAGTGAATGCAGGGTCCTGGGTTTAGTACCACTTTCACTGTTTCCCAAAACAGTTATATTCAAGGCATGCCATAAGCAATAACTAAACTAGTGTGCCTATGTTAGGTCTCAGCTTAACTGTCGGGCCATCAAATGGCTGGTATCATAGCTGATCACATGTGCAGCACCATGGCATCTGCAGATCAAACAGAGGCTCAGATGGCAGCTTGCTTGGCTGTAAAGGATAGGAGGGTTTAGTTCCACTTTAACTTTCTTCCACATAAGTTTGCCTTTATCTACAGCAGGCATGTCCAAAGTCCGGCCCGCGGGCCATTTACGGCCGTTTGGTCAGTTTAATACGGCCCTCCAACAGCCCTCCCTGCTCTGTGTAATGTGGCCCTCCCACGGCCCTCCCTTCTATGGCAGACAGTCTTCTGCTTGAGAGCAGAGGGCAGTGCGCATGCCTGACTGCGGCGCGTTCTCCCTGGTCTGTGTAAATGCGGCTGTCGCACGGCCCTCCCTTCTGTGGCAGACAGTCTTCTGCTTGAGAGCAGTGCGCATGCGTGACTGCGCCACGCTGGGAGCGACAGAGGGCGGTGACGTCAGGTCCGGCTTCCAGCATGAAATGTGTTTCTCTTCCCCTCCCGGCTGCCGAGCAGAGACTTCAGCTCCAGCTACATTTTTCACCCTTCACATTAGTGCAGGTAAGTTTTTTTTAAATTTATTTTCAATACATTGTGAAAACTCAGCTGTCAGTTGATCTTAATGTTATGAAAAAAGTATGTCGTTTGCAATTAACTTGGCAATAATTTATTTGCATTTAATTGTAATGGTTCAAAGAATGTTTGGAAAAATGTTCGGCCCTCCACCATGTTCACTTCATCCAATCTGGCCCTCTTTGAAAAAAGTTTGGACACCCCTGATCTACAGTTTAAATGTTACCATTCTATATACAGTAAATAGCTTTTAATGAGGTTCTTTAAGTACTCACAGGGGTTGGAGAATTTACAGAAGCCACATTGTACCCATACTGGAAAGATGATCCAATGGTCGCCACCAAAGTCACCAAGACGAGTGTTGCTGTCAGTCGCTAAAAAAGAAGGGAGGAACAGATTTTTACCTGAATATATATTGGTAATTTTTTTTTTATACTTTTTAACTGCATTACTAGAATAACATGATATAAATGTACAGAAGTATCCACCTGTGCAAGACAATTGTTCAAACCATTACTTTTCTACCCTACACAGTTATTCCCATCTGTTGGCCAAAAAAGAAGTGTACGTTTCTAAAAATCACCTTTATCTGTTTGTAGATTACCAGTAGAAAACATTTCTAAAGCTGTATTTGTTGTAAAAGGTTCTGTAATATTGCACTTATTTTGGTCACTATCAAGAAAATTTTCTTTGTATGTACTACTTGACACACAGTGCCTTGAAAAAGTATTCATACCCATTGAAATTTTCCACATTTTGTCATGTTACAACCAAATACGTAAATGTATTTTATTGGGATTTTATATGATAGACCAACAAAAAGTGGCACATAATTGTGAAGTGGAAGGAAAATGATAAATGGTTTTCAAAACTGTTTACAAATAAATATCTGAAAAGTGTGGTGTATATTTGTATTCAGCCCCCTTGAGTAAGTACTTTGTAGGACCACCTTTCGCTGCAATTTCAGCTGCAAGTCTTTTTGGGTATGTCTTGACCAGCTTTGCACATCTACAGGGTGAAATTTTTGCCCATTCCTCTTTGCAAAATAGCTCAAGCTCTGTCAGATTGGATGGAGGGCGTCTGTGAACAGCAATTTTCAAGTCTTGCCACAGATTCTCAGTTGGATTAGGTCTGGACTTTGACTGGGCCATTCTAACACATGAATAGGCTTTTTGATCTAAACCATTCCATTGTAGCTCTGGCTACGGGACTTCTTATGGCTTTCTTTCAACAATGGCTTTCTTCTTGCCACTCTTCCATAAAGGACAGATTTGTGGAGTGCACGACTAATAGTTGTCCTGTGGACAGATTCTCCCACCTGAGCGGTGGATCTCTGCAGCTCCTCTAGAGTTACCATGGGCTTCTTGGCTGCTTCTCTGATTAATGTTCTCCTTGCCCGGCCTGTCAGTTTAGGTGGACGGCCATGTCTTGGTAGGTTTGCAGTTGTGCCATACTCTTTCCAGTTTTGGATGATGGATTGAACAGTGCTCCGCAAGATGTTCAAAGCTTGTGATATTTTTTTATAATCTAACCCTGCGCTGAACTTCTCCACAACTTTATCCCTGACCTGTCTGGTATATTCCTTGGCCTTCAAGATGCTGTTTGTTCTCTAATGTTCTCTACCAAACCTCTGAGGGCTTCAAAGAAACAGCTGTATTTATACTGAGATTATATTACACACAGGGTGAGCTCTATTTACTAATTAGGTGACTTCTGAAGACAATTGGTTCCACTAGATTAAAGTTAGGGGTATCAGAGTAAAGGGGGCTGAATACAAATGCACACCACACTTTTCAGATATTTATTTGTAAAAAAAAAAAATGTATCATTTTTCTTCCACTTCGCAATTATGTGCCACTTTGTGTTGGTCTACCACATAAATTCCCAATAAAATACATTTACATTTTTGGTTGTAACATGAAAAAAGTTAGAAAATTTCAAGGGGTATGAATACTTTTTCAAGGCACTGTAGATAGTGCTGGTCTGGGGGTCATCAGCTCCTATTTTAAAGTAGAACATTACATAAGAATTTGCTAGGAGATAAAGGTTTTGTTGGCAGAAGAGACTTTGTATGTCTCTTTAGCCAAAAAAAATCTTTCCTCTTACTCCGAAGAATTTTTTATTTTATGAACATTGCTGGTGAGACATGCACAGTGCAGTGTACACTACTGATTAATTTCAAACATTAGGGAGATTGCCAGAATGGAACCTGGTGCTCAGACAATGTTATTCCTGTGCGCATGCACAGTGGTCGAAGAGGAGGGGCACAGTGTCTGTGGATAGAATGGCAAAAGACAGAGTAGAGCTTCTCTGAACAGAGAGGTGACTCTGTCATAATGTTGTAAGTATGCTATGCATACAGTACTTGCACATTACGGAAAACAGAAGTGGAATTATAATTCTATTTGGATGACCTATCAGTAGCCTACATAGGAGGAAGGAGAATAGAAAAGATTTGTAACCTTCCAGGTTTGCAAGATAGGCTGGTTTGTTTTCTTTATAGGCAGAGGCTGTGTAGCAGCCTGGGATGTGTCAGCCTGTGAGTGAGGCAGGAGTTCACCTCAGGACAGGCTAGGGAGGTTCTGAAGGTCAGAGCTTCTGGAGCCCTCCTACCTTTCCAGAAACCTGAGAGCTTTCTGGAGGAGGGACAGAGGAGGGGAGAAGGCTCAGATCTGTATGCTTGAGGGACCTTGGCCAATCCCGTGGCAGGAAGCTGGGCATGGTGACCAAGGCAACCCTTAAGTATCACAGATCCTGGGAGGAGTGGGGGCAGTGTCAGGTGGAAAATGGACTGAGAGGAAGGCTGGAGTGAGGAGCCTGGGAGGGGACCCCAGGGAGGGGAGCCTACCTGCTGGCAGGATTCTGGAAGGGAGGATCTCCTCTGTCCCATTGTCTCCCTGGGGGAGGACAGCTTGTGAAACAGGGAAGGAACCAGCCAAGCATAAGCCCTGAAGGCAGCCACCAATAAAACAGGGTAAGACAGAGTGAGTACTCCTACATCCCATGGGCCAGATAGGGCACTCAGGTGCAATACCCAACTAGTCTTCATCTGGGACTGTTCTAAATCTACAGCTCTTGGGCCCCCTTGCCCAGGAATACCCTCAGGCAGAAGAGGTGGATTCACCTGGGGTCTGAGGACGTACACCAAAGAGCTTTGGATGCTCTTAAAGGAGAGACTATTTTTGTCCACATTTTTTGTTTTTTGTACATAGTTGCTCTAAGTTGTCCCCATGTTTACAGTTTCCTTGGGCATCCTGTATACCCCTAGACTCCTACCAAGCTGTTAACCACTTTATAAATTAACAAAACAAAGCTCAAGGACCGTTTACTGTCATACCTAATGTTGGTACCGGAAAGGAAAGAGTCACGATTGCTTGGTGTATATAGTGCTTTGTGAGAAGCCACCTTCAATAGCTCCTGATTAAGTCCATTTTTGGATGAAGTGCTGTGACCTTGAATGTGACATCACTTTGTCAAGAGCATTAGCACGCATGGGAGGACACAGGAACAGCTAAGGTGTCTCAGATGTATGCTAATGAATTCTATGCTATTTGTTCCAGAGCTTACAAAAGCACTCAGCACTGTAAGGTGGAAAAGTTAAGAATGCTCCCTTGCTGCGCCCACTTTGCAATATATCTCAGAGACTAGGAAAAGCAGTTTTACTTACCCGATCCTCTGCTGTAGCAGGCTCCTCTGTGCTGTTAACTCAGTCCTGGCACCCTTTTCACATCTATTCTAAGGTGGTCTAGGGTCTGTTGTCCTACATTGGACATAAGGATGCTGAGCAGCATGGTGGAATGCTGTCTGCCAGGGGAAAGGAATATCAGTAAGTAAAAATGCTTTACCCATCCCCTAGACCAGTGGTCTCCAAACTGCAGCCTGAGGGCCAGATGTGGCCCTTTGCTTGCTTGCTTTTATCTGGCCCTTGGGGCACTATTTCATCCACTGATACCAACAATGGGGCATAATTCCCCCCATTGACACCAATGATGGAGCACAATTCCTCCCAATGACACCAATGATGGGGTACATTTCCTCCCAATGACAGCAATGATGGGGCACAATTTCTCCCAATGACACCAACAATGGGACCACTGACACCAATGATGGGGCATAATTCCCCCTACTGATACAAATAATGGGATCCTATTCCTCCATATGACACCAATTATGGGGCACAATTCCTCCCAATGACGCCAACGATGGGTCACGATTTCTTCCAATGACACCAACAATGGGACCCATTGATGGGGCACAATTCCTCTTACTGACACCAAAGATGTGGCACAATTCCTCCCACTGACACCAAAGATGGGGCATTGTTTGGGGCAAGGTCACAGTCCTGCCCTCCTAAAGTCTGAAGGACAGTAAACTGGCCCTTTTTCTATAAAGTTCAGAGACCCCTGCCCTAGACAGAAATGAGAATTTAAAGGGTTCTTACTTTTCCCAGAGTTGAGCTTCAATAATTATTTCCTACACTACAGGAAATCCTTTTGGAGCAAGGAGTTTTTTTTTTTCTCAGAGCATAGATGCAGAACAGCAGCCCCCCCTTTCTGATTCACTTCTTGTCTCCACCCCCTACCCACATATGAGCACCACCCCTTAGTTCCACCTCCTACCCACATTCTGGTAGACAACCTTTTAGAGAATACAGAACCAAGTACATTCTGTGCTGGAGGTGCTGGAGGTGCTGGAACTGCGGTCCCCCACTTTCCCCCTGATAAAAAGCCCTCATTAAGTGCAATAAGACTGCTGATCATTGTTGGTCTAGCAGTCTGGAAAGTTCATTTAGGATATCTCCACAGAGGTGGTGGTTAAATATGTATGACTTCAGAGGAGATCTATTCATTCATCACTGGATGTATTATCACGTGGACACTTTTTTCACTTCTCTTTTTTTTTTTTTGGCACAAAGCACTTTTTTTTTGTTTTACACAACATGAACTGTACGAACTGTGTTTCACTGCAGTTGATTAGCACATTTTTATGTGTGTTGTGCTGAACTTTTTGTTTCACTTTGAAATTGTGATCTTATTAGCACATTATATACAATTAGCATTACACATATAGGTACTGTATATCTAGGTTTTCTCTAAAAAATACATGTTAAGTCACACTAAGTCTTGTGTATGGAATAGTGTTTGAGAAGATTCTGTTCTCCAAGAATAAAAAACATTACTATCACAATATTAGTGACAATTACTCAGTCATGCAATACTGTATCCATATGACATTTTTATCCTTTTTTTTTTTTTGGACAGATAGAGCTTTCTTTTAGTGGTATTTGATCACTACTGGGTTTTTTATTTTTTGCTATATAAATGAAAAAATACAGAAAATTCTGAAAATAAATGTTTTTGCATAGTTTATGTTATAAAGTTTTGCAAACAAATAATCTTTCTTCATAAATTTAGGCCAAAATGTATTCTGCTACATTTTTGGGGTAAAAATAACCTAAAACAGTGTATATTATTCAGTCTGTATGAAAACTATCGGATATATATTTGAAAATTGATTCGCTGAGACCCTAAAGTGCCGGAAGCTGGTATGATGTATGTTAGTGATCAGGACGCTGGTATGGGGTATGGCAGTGATCAGGATGTTAGCATGGGGTATGGCGGTGATCAGGACGCTGGTATGGCGGTAGTCAGGATGCTGGTATGAGTGTGATTAGGTTGCTGGTATGGCATATGGCAGTGATCAGGAGGCTGGTATGGGGTAGGACAGTGATCAGGACGCTGGTATAGCATATGGGGTTATCAGGATACTGGTATGGGGCATGACGCTTATCAGGATGCTGATATGGGTTATGCTGTTGATCAGGACATTTGTATGGAGTATGACGGTAATAAGGATGCTGGTATGGGGTATGACGGTGATCAGGATTCTGGTATGGGGTATGGCGGTGATCCGGATGCTGGTATGGGGCATGGCGCTGATCAGGATGCTGGTATGGGGCATGGTGCTGATCAGGATGCTGGTATGGGGTATGGTGGTGATCAGAACGCTGGTATGGTGTATGGCAGTGATCAGGATGCTGGTATGGGGTATTGCAGTGATCAGAATGCTGGTATAGGGTATGGCAGTGATCAGGACGCTGGTATAGCATATGGGATTATCAGGATACTGGTATAGGGCATGGCACTGATCAGGATTCTGGTATGGGGTATGGTGGTGATCAGGACATTTGTATGGAGTATGGCAGTGATCAGGATGCTGGTATGGAGTATGGTGGTGATCAGGATGCTGGTATGGAGTATGGCAGTGATCAGGATGCTGGTATGGAGTATGGTGGTGATCAGGATGCTGGTATGGGGTATGGCAGTTATCAGAAAGATGGTATAGGGTATGGCAGCGATCAGGATGCTGGTATAGCATATGGGGTTATCAGGATACTGGTATAGGGCATAGCGATGATCAGGATACTGGTATGGGGCATGGCGCTGATCAGGATGCTGGTATGGGGTATGGCAGTGACCAGGACACTGGTATGGGGTGTGGTGGTGATCAGAACGTTTGTGTGGAGTATGGCGGTGGTCAGGATGCTGGTATGGGGTATGGCGGTGATCAGGATGCTGGTATGGGGTATGGAAGTGATCAGAACGCTGGTATAGGGTATGTCAGTGATCAGGACGCTAGTATAGCATATGGGGTTATCAGGATACTGGTATAGGGCATGGCACTGATCAGGATGCTGGTATGGGGTATGGCCATGATCAAAGCTCTGGTATGGTATATGGCGGAGGTCAGGGTGCTGGTATGGGGTATGACGGTGATCAGGGTGCTGTTATGGTATATGGCGGTGATCAGGGTGCTGGTTTGGCCTATGGCCGTGATCAGGGTGTTGTTTTGGGGTATGGCCGTGATCAGGGTGTTGTTTTGGGGTATGGCCGTGATCAGGGCATTAGTTTGAAGTATGGTGGTGATCAGATCATTAGTTTGGGGTATGGTGGTGATCAGGACACTGGTATGGTGTATGGGGGTGTTTTTGTGCACACTGGAGCAGGTGACATGGGCTGGCTGCGTTATTTATTATGAAAATACTGGGGCAATGATTAGAAACACTGGGACACTAAACTGGGACCATGGGTGGACTGACAACTCATGGGGCCCCCTGGCAATAGGGGATCATGGGGCCCCTGTGTCCTTGCCCAAACTCAAAAAAGCCTATGAAAAAGGTACCAGGGGCATCTCATGGGCCCCCCTAATGACCCCGGGCCCTCGGGCAGTGCCCGAGTTTCCAAATGGTCAGTCCGCCCCTGTCTGGGACACTGGGGTGGCTCACACAGCAGTCTGTGAGTGTACAAGCAGCTTCACAAGCTGCTGTACACTCACAGGTTGCAGGGTCGTTTCTGTCCTTTCTCACACAGAGAGCAGAGAGACGTTATCTTTAGTTTTAATTTCCATTTACTATGTGAGTGCTGTGATTGGTCACAGCACTCACATGGTAAAACACCATGTGATCACCCAGACACAGCAGTAATGTGATCCACTGCGTCCGGGCAACACAGATCGCTGAGCTCCTGGGTGCACAATCTCAGCAAAGCTTCCTGTCCAGCATTTATATGCAGTGTTACTAAACCCAGGACCCTGTATTCACTATATCTGGTCTCCCACAGTACACAGAAGATGGAAATGCAATTATTTTACTAAATATAAACTGCTAAATACTTTTTCTCATCAGCAGTTAGAGCAGTCTTGTGACTGCTATCAGTGTCCAGCAGAGCACTGGTTAAAGCTGGTAAGAGGAGTTTTAATTATCCCCTGACTGTAGTATGAGGCTGGATAACCCCTGACCCTCTGTCTGGACAACACTGATTGGCCCTGTGTTGATCACATGCACTCTTTCCAAAAAAAAACCCAACTCTCTACCAATACACGACAAACTGAGCATGTGCAGCTTGCTCACCATGCTCTGTTCTACCAGTAGATGGATTGGGGACAGTGGAAGAAGGGGAGGATCAGAGAAGATAGGATCAAATATCCTTTCTACACAAAGCGGAGGATTAACCCCTTGGGTACCACAGTGAGTATAACAAGTATGTTTTACTGCATATACAGACTGATTTTACTGTTGTGGGTTTAGTAACACTTTAAGCTCCCTCTTAGATTGTGAGCTCCAAGGAGCAGGGCCCTCCTAACCCTCTTGTATTGAACTGTATTGTTGCTGTATTGTCTCCCGTTATATTGTAAAGCGCTGAGCAAACTGTTGGCGCTATATAAATCCTGCATTATAATAATAATAATAATAATAATAATAATGTTAGTATTTTTTTCATTATGTTGCCTAAAGAAACCAATTAGCATTTCCCTTTAAAAGAAAACTTTATTTTTATGGTTTGCATAATATGAATTATTGGTTACTACATGTTTATTATTATTATTTTTGCGGTACTTTTAGCGCGGTGTTTATTTTGGTTCAGTTAGAATAAGGTGGGATGTGCTTGTACTTACCCCCTTCCTCTCCTCCGGCTCTTTTTTGCCGTCTTCCAGCTCTGCCATTCCTACAGGAGTCCCTGAGTCCTCACAATCCACCAGCCACCACTGTGAAAACACAAAACGTCAGTGGGCCTTTGTTCTGAACTTTGATCGTGTTATCAAATCAAGAGATGTTAACTGTTTTGTTCTGGATTTTTTTTCTCCATTAAGCACAACTCACTGACTAAACAAGAGCAAGCAATGCTGTTATCTATAATGTTTAACCACATTGGATGGTGTTGGGCTAAATGTAATCGTGAATTTTCAAAAGAATTATCTATATGAGTCTGTCTGTTATCCAAGTCTTTTAGCAGTTTAATAACCAAATCAATGTTTAATAGGACTATAACCTGAGGAGCAGAGTATGAATTCCCTAAGGGATAGATTAATAACTGATTTATTTTCACTATTTTTTTTTATTATGTTATTACTATTGCTACTTGTTTTGCCATTGTTCATAGAAAGGCGTCTGATTTATTTAAATGCAAAACCTAAAATGTAAAATATTGTGGCTTATCAATCATTAGATGTGGTGGCTGCATTATTTTTGTAGGCTTTTTTTCCCCTCTGTTTTCACCTGGTAATCTGGCCAGTAACACATCTTCTGTATTAGAGTGCCTTCACTCTGGATGAAGGAGCACAAGGGCCACCTTTGGACAGCAGCATAGCTAATCTGGGGAGGGGAGTGTTAGATGCACTAGCAGATTTAAATACACTAACAAAATGAAGCTGAACTCCAGCTTAGACCTTATGAGCAGTTACACCATCATTTTTTCCCTTTTGGGATAAAGGTTTTACAAGAAAAAATAAAAGCTGATCATTGTAAGCAACCTTGTAAGTGGTAAATGATTTGTCTCAACCAACTAACTGCTACATCTGCAGGAGAGCTTGTTCTTTTGAAAAAAAAGCACTGACTGACTGGCTGGATCACCGCATGAAAAAATGGAAAGAAATGTAGAAAGTTATTTGGCAAAGTCTGTTTTCTGCATATGTTCCTTAACCATTTCAAGTCTGGACACTTTCACCTCCTTCCAGTCCAGGCCAATTTGTAGCATTCAGCGCTGTTGGACTTCAAATAAAAATGATTCAGTCATACAACACTGTACCCATATGAAATTTGTATCATTGTTTTTCACACAAATAGAAAAAATACCAAAATTTAAAAAAAATGTTTTTACTTAGTTTTTTTGTTATAAACTTTGCAAATAAATTATCTTTCTTCATAAATTTAGACCAAAATGTATTCTGATATATTTTGGGGGTAAAAATAACCCCAAACAGTGTATTTTATTTAGTCTGTGTGAAAGTTATAGAGTGTACAAACTATGGGATATATATCTGAAAATTGAGACCCTAAAATGCTGCATGCTGGTATGGGGTATGGCAGTGTTCAGGGTGCTGGTATGTGGGATGACAGTGATCAGGACATTGGTCTGGCGGTGATCAGGATGCTTGCATGGGGTATGGCAGTGATCAGGATGCTAGTATGTGGTATGGTGGTGATCAGGGCACTGGTATGGGGTATGGTGGTGATCAGAACGCTGGTATGAGGTATGGTGGTGATCATGGCACTGGTATGGGGTATGACGGGGATCAGGGCGCTAATATGGGGTATGACGGTGATCATGGCGCTGATATGGGGTATGGTGGTGATCAGGATGCTAGTATGAGGTATGGCAGTGATCAGGACACTGGTATGGGGTACGACGGTGATCAGGATGCTGATATGGGGTATGTTGGTGATCAGGATGCTAGTATGAGGTATGGCAGTGATCAGGACGCTGGGATGGGGTATGATGGTGATCAGAACACTGATATGGGGTATGGTGGTGATCAGGATGCTAGTATGAGGTATGAGTGTACAAAGTATGGGATATATATCTGAAAATTGAGACCCTAAAATGCTGCATGCTGGTATGGGGTATGACAGTGTTCAGGGTGCTGGTATGGGGGATGACAGTGATCAGGACATTGGTCTGGCGGTGATCAGGATGCTTGCATGGGGTATGGCAGTGATCAGGATGCTAGTATGTGGTATGGTGGTGATCAGGGCACTGGTATGGGGTATGGTGGTGATCAGAACGCTGGTATGAGGTATGGTGGTGATCATGGCACTGGTATGGGGTATGACGGGGATCAGGGTGCTAATATGGGGTATGACGGTGATCATGGCGCTGATATGGGGTATGGTGGTGATCAGGACGCTAGTATGAGGTATGGCAGTGATCAGGACACTGGTATGGGGTACGACGGTGATCAGGATGCTGATATGGGGTATGGTGGTGATCAGGATGCTAGTATGAGGTATGGCAGTGATCAGGACGCTGGTATGGGGTATGATGGTGATCAGAACACTGATATGGGGTATGGTGGTGATCAGGATGCTAGTATGAGGTATGAGTGTACAAAGTATGGGATATATATCTGAAAATTGAGACCCTAAAATGCTGCATGCTGGTATGGGGTATGGTAGTGTTCATGGTGCTGGCATGGGGTATGGCAGTAATCAGGACACTGATATGGGGTATGGCAGTGATCAGGACACTATTATGAGGTATGGTGGTGATCAGGAGCGCTGGTATGGGTATGGTGGTGATCAGGGCGCTGATATGAGTGATCAGAACACTGGTATGATGGTGATCAGGGCGCTGGTATGAGGTATGGCAGTGATCAGAACACTGGTATGAGGTATGGTGGTGATCAGGGCGCTGGTATGAGGTATGGCAGTGATCAGAACACTGGTATGGGGTATGACAGTGATCAGGATGTTGATATGGGGTATGGTGGTGATCAGGATGCTAGTATGACGTATGGCAGTGATCAGGGCGCTGGTATGAGGTATGGCAGTGATCAGAACACTGGTATAGGGTATGGTGGTAATCAGGGTGCTGATTCAGGGTATGAGGTATGGCAGTGATCAGGACGCTAGTATGAGGTATGGCAGTGATCAGAACACTGGTATAGGGTATGGTGGTGATCAGGACGCTGATAAATATGGGTTATGGTGGTGATCAGGATGCTAGTATGAGGTATGGCAGTGATCAGGATGCTGGTATGGGGTATGATGGTGATCAGGACGCTGATATGGGGTATGGTGGTGATCAGGGCACTGGTATGAGGTATGGCGGTAATTAGAACACTGGTATAGGGTATGGTGGTGATCAGGGCGCTGGTATGAGGTATGGCAGTGATCAGGGCATTGGTATGAGGTATGGCTGTGATCAGGAGCTGGTATGGGGTATGGTGGTAATCAGAACGCTGGTATGAGGTATGGTGATGATCAGGACGCTAGTATGAGGTATGTCAGTGATCAGGACGCTGGTATGGGGTATGACAGTGGTCAGGATGCTGATATGGGGAATGGTGGTGATCAGGTCGCTGGTATGAGGTATGGCTCCCGATTGCCCAACGCATTAAATTCAACCTACTAACTCTGACATACAAAGCCATTCACAACGCTGCCCCAAACTACCTAACTGACCTGATACCCAGATACTACCCTACCCGTGCCCTTCGCTCCTCACAGGACCTCCTACTCTCCAGCTCCCTGGTCTCCTCTTTCCACGCCCGACTGCAGGACTTCTCCAGGACTTCCCCCATCCACTGGAACTCCCTACCCCAATCCATCAGACTGTCACCTACCCTCCTCACCTTCAGGCGCACCCGAAAAAACCCATCTCTTCAGGGAAGCCTACCCCACCCTCACCTAACAACCGATCTCCTCCACTCCTCCTACCACTCCATCCCCCACAGCCACTTCCTCCTGTACCACTATCCCCTCCCTCCTAGATTGTAAGCTCGAAAGAGCAGGGCCCTCGAACCCCACGTGTATTATATTGTACTGTATTGTCTCATGTTCTGTCCCTCTCGCTAATGTACAACGCTGAGCAAACCCTGTGGCGCTATATAAATACTGTATAATAATAATAATGGAGGTGATTAGAACACTGGTATAGGGTATGAGGGTGATCAGAATGCTGATATGTGGTATGGCAGTGATCAGGGCATTGGTATGAGGTATGGCTGTGATCAGGGCTCTGGTATGGGGTATGTGGTGGTAATCAGAACGCTGGTATGAGGTATGGTGGTGATTATGGCACTGGTGTGGGGTATGACGGTGATAAGGACGCAGCTACAAATACTGTAGCTGCTGATTTCAATAAAAGGACACATACCTGTCCAGGCATTTAGCGCTTTCCTCATTTGGGCCAGTTATTCACCGCTGTTTGGGACCCTGGCGCTGCCATGTCTAGTGTGGGAAGCCAGATGTGACTCCTTTCTGCTTCACAGCTGGCTTCCCACTGTACACGTTCGAGTCAAGCAGCACGCTGTGAATGGACCCGCAGCCTCATCGGACCTGTGATGTGTCTCAGAAGGCTGCAGAATGCCCCTTTTGGGTTGAAGTCCCATTTTAACAATGAATGCACATGTTAAAACAAACATAAAATGCACAGAGTAATGAACCCTACTAAAATGGAGGCAATCCCATTAAATATTACTGAACCTCAATTAGACCAATATGGGCACACCTATAATTATACATGGTGCCTACATACCTTTATAAAGGTGATCAGATTTCCTATTACCCCTCTCTCCATGTTGATAATTTCTCCTGTTTTTTTTAAATTAGAAAGCTTTTTGAAGCAGGGGACCAAATACTAGTTATGATGGCTTTACCCAATATTCTATATTTATTTTATCCCTATTGGCAATGCCCAGAATTGTGCAGAAAGATCAACAAATAAATCTGAAACTGCAAATCGCATAGAATTTCTAGCCACTTTTTACAGGCAAGAAAGTCTCAGGGTAGCATCGAAGTACCTTGTACCTAGATGTAGATCTGTTACCTATTACTAAAAACACCCCCCAAAGAAAACCAAATGGCAGACTTGATGGACCACTCAATCTTTTTTTGCTGTCACTTTTCTATATGTACCAGTATCTAAATATTGCACCACAACTACATGCTTTTGAATTACCTTTAATGTACTTGCACAGTAACACATTATAAAAAAAGTTAAAAACATTATGCTAAGGTACCAGAGCACATTTCTATCATACAGTGTAATACGAGTACAATAATAATAATAATCTAATAATATGACCTATCAAAGGGAGGAGCAAAAAGAGAAAAAAAGAAACAACACAACAACCAAACTTGGATTGGGCTTGGATAGTGCGGCGCCCTTTCCTATTATGGGATCTGTAATGAAGGGGATTCTTGAAGGCAGAGGAGATGTAATGTGAGATGTACAGATACGTTTGGTTGTATGTCATATAAAGTGAGGAAACTCACATTTTTTACAATTATTTTAGAGATCTCTTTGGCTCAAATATGCACAAGGCAGAATGGGATTAGGAATAGACAAGTATTCCTACAAAGGTGTGGAACTTGAGCTCTTAGGGAGAGGGGTGTCAATTCAGGGGCGGACTGGCAACTCATAGGGCCCACGGGCAATAGGGAATCATGGGGCCCCTGTGTCCTTGCCCAAACTCAAGAAAGCCTATGAGAAAGGTACCAGGGGCATCTCATGGGGCCCCCTACTGACCCTGGGCCCTCGGGCAGTGCCCGAGTTTCCAAATGGTCAGTCCGCCCCTCGGTGTCACCAATTTGAAGGTCTGACAGATGGATACTTTCAGGACAATGGCTATTCTCTAACAAGACAAAACAGACCTGTCCAAAGATATAGCAATGACTTCCCCAATATCACAGCAAAATGGACTTTAAAGCAGGGTTTCTCAACCAGGGTTTCAGCAGAGGTTAGCATGGGTTCCTTGAGCAATGAGTCATTTCTGATTCTAAGAGAAGTTCCCACTGACACCATTGTTATTTTTAGCTATCTGTAAGGGGGTAATTCTTCCATGGTGAGTGTGCATACAGGCCATGGAGGTTAAGTGCATTACTTATTGTTTTGTTTGAAACAAATGTACCTGATAATTCCAAGTCTTTCTAAAGCTGTCCACAAGTGGTTCTTGGCTCTTGCACGACTCTTCTGATCATTCTTTTCACTCCTCTGTTAGAAATCTTGAGAGGAGCACCTGGTCATGGTCGGTTATGTTTATGGTGAAATGATAGACTGTGCACTTTGGAAGTGGAGTTGCACTCATTTATTCCAGAGCTTAATGAAGGTGGTGAAGATTCACTTTGTAAGGAATAGCCAATCAGGTGCAAGGGAAATTAAAAAAATGCATTTTTGCTAGCACATGATTGGATGATGAAACTCAGTAGAACTTCACCTTATTCACTAAGCTCTGAGTAAAAAAGAGTGCAACTGTAAAGTGTACTCTGAAGTGTATATAAGGCCATGGTCACATTTCACGTCCACGTTCAAGTTTCACATTGACCACTAAAGCACAAATCAGCTTCTGTACTTTGTGTGGTCCATTTAGAACAAAGAAGAAAGGTCACTAGCAGGATCAACTAGGTACTTTAGATCAAAGAAGTACATGAAAATGATAGAGACTATGATTTATAAATACACTTGTGCACACACACATAGGAAAAAAAATAAATATTTAGGGTAGCATACACATTAAAGCACAGGTATTCTTCAAAGGTGAGTGTATTGATAATGAACGTGTGCAGTTTGTTGTTGGATATGGAACGGTAAAGTCTGTCTGCTGTTGGAGATTGCTCATGGCAAAGTAAACCAAATAATATAATCTGCTCTGTTCTCCGTGTTATGTACTGTTTGTTTTGGCAACCACTATTAAAAACAATCATAATCAAGCATTTGCAGATTAATACTACAATAATGGAAGCATTATCAATGGCCAGATAAACAGAGCAGTACAGGTCAGTGGTCAGTGTATTTAAAGCTGAACTCAGGGATAAGCAAATATTGTTCAAATACAAGTGTGTTCTTACTGGAATCTTGTTGTGCTTTTTGTCTTTCTTTCAGGTCTGTGAAGTAATCCAGTGTGAAATTTTGCCTGGAATAAAGACCAGTCACTGCTGCCCTGTCTTCTTGTGCAGGGTGACTGGTCTCGTCTCCCCCCCTCCTGTAGTTTAATGCAGGCAGCCTATAGTGGATGGACCTGAAGAGCCCTTCCCCCCAGCTCTGCTCTCTGCACAGGCTATATACAATATAGTGATGGTATCACTACATTTAAAAAGTAATATCTAAGTTTGCAAAGACTTTTAGTGCACACAAACGGGATTTATATCATCTGTGGCTACTGCGGAATATATTTGAATGACATTTTTTGTACCTGGAGAGCAGCTTTAAAGCAGCATATTTGACTGACATTAGTTTAGCAGGAAGCTACAACTTTGAATTAAGGTATGCATACATATTAGACGATCATCACAATGTATCTCCTGATGAAACTTTTTTTTTAATTGTAAAAATGATGATAGCTCCTTTTTCTGTGTGCCAGTGAGGAAGATTGTCTCAATTTTTTTTGTCCTGGAGACACAAGAAGTAAGAAGAAATCTCTCCAAAGTTAGGAAAAAACCCTCTTAGACAATTGTCATGGGAACTGGATTTACTGAAGGCAAATAGACTGTGCACTTTGGAAGTGAAGTTTCACTCATTATTTCCAGAGCTTAGTGAAAGCGTTGAAGCTTCACTTTGTAAGGTGTAGCCAATCAGGTGCAAGGAAAATTTAAAAAAATTCATTTTTGCTTGCACGTGATTGGATGATGGAACTCAGTAAAGCTTCACCCCATTCACTAAGCTCTGAAGAAAATTTGCAACTGTAACACTGCACATACGAAGAGTATATACAGTGGGGATCGAAAGTTTGGGCACCCAGCTAAAAAATGTGTATTAATGTGCATAAAGAAGCCAAGGAAAGATGGAAAAATCTCCAAAAGGCATCAAATTACAGATTAGACATTCTTATAATATGTCAACAAAAGTTAGATTTTATTTCCATCATTTACACTTTCAAAATAACAGAAAACAAAAAAAAAATGGTGTCTGCAAAAGTTTGGGCACCCTGCAGAATTTATAGCATGCACTGCCCCCTTTGCAAAGCTTGAGACCTGCCAGTGTCATGGATTGTTCTCAATCATCATCATCTGGGAAGACCAGGTGATGTCAAGCTCAAAAGGTTTTAAATGCCCAGACTCATCTGACCTTGCCCCAACAATCAGCACCATGGGTTCTTCTAAGCAGTTGTCTAGAAAACTGAAACTGAAAATAGTTGACGCCTCACAAAGCTGGAGAAGGCTATTGATAGCAAAGCGTTTTCAGATGTCAATATCCTCTGTTCGGAATGTAATTAAGAAATGGCAGTCATCAGGAACAGTGAAGTGGAAGTTAAAGCAAGATCTGGAAGACCAAAAAAAGTATCAGACAGAACAGCTCGCAGGATTGTGAGAAAAACAATTCAAAACCCACGTTTGACTGCACGATCCCTCCAGAAAGATCTGGCAGACACTGTGGGGGAAAAGACATAGTTGTGGTCACTATTCCACTATAAAGAGATACTTGTACAAATATGGTCTTCATGGAAGAGTCATCAGAAGAAAACCTCTTCTATGTCCTCACCACAAAAATCATCGTTTGAACTTTGCAAATGAACATATAGACAAGCCTGATGCATTTTGGAAACAAGTTCTGTGGAACGATGAGGTTAAAATTGAACTTTTTGGCCGGAATGAGCAAAGGTACGTTTGGAGAAGAAGGGCACAGAATTTAATGAAAAGAACCTCTGTCCAACTGTTAAGCATGGGGTTGGATCAATCATGCTTTGGGGTTGTGTGCAGCCATGTGGCACAGGGAACCTCTCACGAGTAGAAGGAAAAATGGATTCAATAAAATTCCAGCAAATTTTGGATGGTAACTTGATGCCATCTGTGAAAAAGCTGAAGTTAAAAGAGAGGATGGCTTCTACAAATGGATAATGATCCTAAACAACACCTCGAAATCCACGGGGGATTACATCAAGAGCGTAAACTGAAGGTTTTGCCATGGACTTCACAATCTCCTGACCTCAACATAATTGAAAATCTATGGATAGACCTTAAAAGAGCAGTGCGTGACAGACAGCCCAGAAATCTCAAAGAACTGGAAGACTTTTGTAAGGAAGAATGGGCAAAGATACCTCAAACAAGAATGAAAGACTCTTGGCTGGCTACAAAAATCGTTTACAAGCTGTGATACTTGACAAAGGGGGCAGTACAAGATATTAACTCTCCAGGGTGCCCAAACTTTTGCAGACGCCATTTTTTTGTTTTCTGTTATTTTGAAAGTGTAAATGATGGAAATAAAATCTAACTTTTGTTGACATATTATAAGAATGTCTAATCTGTAATTTGATGCCTTTTGGAGATTTTTCCATCTTTCCTTGGCTTCTTTATGCACATTAATACAAATTTTTAGCTGGGGTGCCCAAACTTTCGATCCCCACTGTATAAGGCTATGTTCACATTTCTTGTAGCGGGGATGTGCGTTGCCACTCATGATTTGTTTACAAGCGTTTCTGCATGTCGCACATAGGGCAGCCTATTCACTTAAATTGGCTGCCCTATGCGTATTTGTTGCATCAAAGAAGCTCACGTATCAATTTTTTAGCTTTGAGCCAGGAGCATTTTTTCATGTGTTTTGTTGCATCACAATCATGGAAAAAATTGTACTGCATTTTAGTTACCATTAAGAAGGACTGGGATCCATATGTGCATCACACATTTTGTCACGATTTTAGCATGGTTTGGAAACAGGGCTGCTGTTAGAATCCATGGGGCCCCATACAGCAAACCTGTCAGGGCCCCTCCACCAAAAAAAAAAAAAAAAAAAAAAAAGCTTCAGTTATGAATGGACACAGTGAGTGATTGTTACCGATCACTTATTCTGTTCATTCAGGAAAGGGGCTGGTAAATGTGTCATATTTACCAAAACCTTCTCCCACTCTTCATCCTGAAGGATCCTATTGTGTGCTTGCAGATGCCTGGTGGAAAGAAGAGGAGGGAAACCGGTAGCACTGTGGGGGTGGGGGCCTGGGCAGCAGGGGGAAATGTAGGTGCACAGGGAGGGTGGTGGGTGTGGTGGGGGCAATTACTGGAACCTACCCCCTGTATGGCTCTCTGCAGCATCTGAAAGCCAGCGGGAGGGAGTGGAGAAGAAGCCACCCCCTCTACCCACATCTGATTCAAACAGCTGACTGGGACCCCCCCCCCCCACTAGCCTGGGCCCTGTACAGGAGGATTGGTGGTACCCCCTTATCCACTGCCCTGTTTGGAAACAAGGGCAGAATTGTGCCAATTCTGCCCATGAATCCAAATAACTAGATGTGAACAGGGCCTAATATGTAGCCCCTGGAAAATCCTGGCATATTTTCTGTTTTCCTTAAACTTTATCAGTAAGGGATGTGGTACCCTGACCTAATAGGCCAGTTCAAGTATTTAAAGTGATACTAAACACACTCTGTTTAATTTACATTGTCCCTTCTGTTTCTGTATATGGATGATGGCACTGTAAATATTTTAATTAAAAAAAAATCTAAGTACCCTTTTCCTAATCAATATACAGCTCTCACATGACGCAGCTCTTTCCCAGCTTGTTTGCAAGGGAAACAGTGGCAGGAAGAGCTTCTAGTTTTCTGCTGCTGGTCACATTTGAGATAAAAACAAAATCAGCATTTGGGATACAGAGTAAAAATAAATAAATAATATCAATAATCTGTTTTAAATTATCA